CCGCAAAGTTCGAAGGAACAAATGCTCGCCCAAGGTCGTTACACACTTCCTCAATGTCACCCTCTTCCCGCGCAACCTCCATCTCAGATCCACGTCAGCCGTGCATACATATCCCAGTAACATCCGCCCCCTCAAAACGCACATCATCACTGGAACGGAAAGAAGGCTACATACAAGGCGGCCGGGAATTGCTTCACCAACAGCCCAGATGGCCAAGTTGGCAGCGGCTGCGTCCGCGAGCAGAAGATTAGACGCTGGAGGATGCGGCTCTGGTGTGGCTCTGGCTGGAAGCATGATTTTCTATAAAGAAGTACTCGCGCTTAAGACAGCCTCGCCATATAACTCGTTGTTCGCTGTCCATTCATTTCACTGTATTATTATTGTTTGTAACCGTGTACAAGCCTTGGTACCCAAAGATACTTTTCAGAGTCACGCAGAGCTATGTGTCAATACATTGAGACTTTCCATGAGTATAATGGGTGTCGGCTTCGAGAAACGTACCCGAATGATAAGCCGAGTCGCTTCGCTTGGTTTCTTGGAATCGTGGGCCGTGGTCCAGCAAATGGTGACGATGGTGAGCCCGAAAGCACAGATGCTGATGCCGAACAAGCGCAAGAACCGCCAGAATGCCATAAAATCACAGAAAAGCTTATCCTCCAGTGTGAAGATGCCACGACAGATCCGGAGCAACAAGACAAGCCTATCGGGGCACGTGTTTGCAAAGACCCGGTGCCCTACGCCAGTGAAGAACAACAACCGATTATTGAGAGTGGGTATACGACGCACGGTGGTGAATGTCCAGTCTGCCGTGCAGTAAAAGAGGTCATTGAACAGAAGACAGACACAATTGTAATTGCAAGTAAAGCGTATGAAGATTCCTTTTCCGTCATATTAATGTTGAACAGCGGGGACTTCAAGTGGCAAAAGCCCAACGACAACAGTCGCCCAATGGCCCAAGGAAGCGTGAACGAACGGTTAGTGGCCCAGTTTTAGTTATGCGTGGCTCCTGCTGATTTCCAATAGAATGATGGAAGAGATCCGGCACATCCTATTCGCCATGGTGGAGACGGAGGCAGAATTGTGAGGAAACGATATCCCAAGAGCTCCAAGAAGAGACGCGGAAAGAAAACTGTTCAGAGGTGAGTCCATTTGCTCTATGACTATATAATGGGTTTTAATACTATTTATAGCCAACACCCCCTCTGCTGCCTAATGTGATGAGGATACGAGACTGTTCCAGGTCGAGCACAGAAATGATATGTTGCATCAAGACTTCAAATACCTGTAGTCGGAGATAGTTCAACGATTGTGCATAAGCTGGTATGAATAGGAAGAAGGCTTGAACCAGTTAAACGATTCCTTGAATAATGAAACACCACCCGTAACCTCCTTCCGTCCTTGATCATTCCTCTGCCTATTCTTCTCTTGTAGCCTCTCATTATCCACCTCTTGTTTCCTAGACTTCCGTCGAGAGCCCTTTGCAAGTTCAGCGTATTTGTGCCTAGATGCCGGCTGTCTGTCCGCATCCTGCGCAGCGTTTTGTTCGAGTTCGGCCGAGTCCTCAGGGATATTGGAATCCCTCCTTCTCAAGCACAGTTTCGAGTTATTCTCCAGATCTGCGAGGATTTCGTTGGCCGTGCTGTACTCCTGCTTCCAACACTTGAGGACAATGGGTCCCAGGTGTCGGATTCCGCGCACGTCAGGGAACTTGGACCGTTTATACAGGCCGTTGATCTCCCTCCAGGATTTATCTCTGTACGGTGGCGACCCAGTGGCCATTTCGTAGATGGCGCTGCCCATGGCGAAGATGTCTGCTGTTTGGCTTGGCTCGTCTGAGCCAGGGAGCTTGCCCCACGTCTCGTAGTCTACAGTCAGGGGCGATCCGTCAACGGAAGAGCCAGCGAAGTCGGCAAGTTTAACAGTGTTGTCTTTTTGGCTGAAGAGCATATTGTGGCATCCAACTACCACCAGTCAGCTTACGTTGAGATGGTGAGCGCATCTGTTAGATTCTAACCATCTCCTTGGATCACGCCACATCTGTGAACGTATGCGAGTCCTTGTACTGCTTCGTAGACCCAATTCTTAACCAAGCTTTCGGGAGGTTTCTTGCCATTAGGATGGGACTGCAAACGTTTCCTGATCGTGTGTTGGCAGCGCTCCAGTACAAGTCCATATTGATTGTCAGACTCGTAGCATTTCAAGACATAAGGACTTCCTGGAAGGGAGAGTTTACGGTAAGCGTTTCGCTCGGTCTCGATGTCTTCAATACTGCTCAAGGATCCGGTATCTATTTTGGCCACTCTCTGGTCATCAATAGCAAGCACCAGTCCGGAGATTCCATGGCCCAAGGGGACAAGGTCCCCAATATATCCATCCCAAGATCTGTATTTCGGCTTCCTTTGGTTTGGTTTCGAAGCGTATCCCATCTCAATCAGAGATCCGGTGGTTATGAAATAGTAAATGCTGCACAGGACTTTTAAAAAGACTGGGCTGGTTTTAATACTAGTAATACTAGCAAACACATTGGAAATTCAATGGCAAATGTAAGTATTCTGCAAGATAATTAGTTTCGCATAATTGATCAGGCGCTTTTTGTTGGCACCAAAACTGCTAATCGAATACTGCTTCACAACGAGGGGATACTGGGCATCCAGAACCCCCTGAAGAGGCGTAGTTCGAGTAGTGTGGCAGCCCTTACAGCTCCTGATGGCTATCATCTTATATCAAGTGTGCCGTCCGCCCAAAATCGCAAACATAAGCGTGAGATGTAAAAGGGAGTGTTGCACAACATGATAGATACATCCTGACGTGCATGGGGTGCCAGATCTGGAATACATGTTAATGAATTAGTCGACTTGCATATTGAAAAGGATGCACACGGCTGAGAATAACCTATGGCAAGTGATACACAACTGACCAATAAGATTTCCCAAATATTCGGCCCCACGACATAACCCAACCTCAAAAACTGGCACATGACCGGGATGGATTCAGGCAAGTTAAGTTACATCGGCATCGTGGCTCGAGGTTCTCTCTGCCTTGCAAGTTTTTAAGACGTCCATAATTTACCATGAAAAGATATACGCAGGAAACATCCTCACTCTGGTAATATAAAAATAGAACATAAAAGTCATTAGAAAAACGAAATGATACCTAAAAAGGATACCCTAAAAGGTGTCTCTCTTGGGATTTCTTTTTAATAAGTAAACATCCATTGGCCCCTCGGGCCTTATCCTCCTTGCTGAAGGCACCCCGGGGAACCAATATTTGTACCAATGTGAAGACCAATGTTTGTTTGATTCAGTGGTTAGGAACCTTTGCTTATAATATTCTGAAAATCCGCTGCCGGTCCTTTTGAGCTCAAATGACGCCAAATAACACGGGATGCCACACAAGAGACACTACATCCGCTGTTACACAAAGGTCCAGCTTGAAAGCGGAGTGCACCACGTGGAAACTCAATCACCTAACTCCTTAATGTCTAAGTGAATTAACTAGGATACTGAGTTTGTTTAATCTTTCAAATATATCTAGGGCTCTGGATTAGGACTGATTTCTTAGGAATTATTTAGAAGGCTCTCTCTGGTGCAAATCGCCGGGTTAAGTGAATGACTTTTAGGGCAGGGACTTCTCACCTACTAACCACTTTAAATCCCAATTCTAAAACAATTCCTTCATACTATATATATATTGACGCTCGCTAAGAAAAGAAGAGAGGCATATCTTACAGCAATCGATATTATACACTTAATAAAATATAAGTGATTTTGAATCTAAACATCAGATCTTGCACAGACGCCCTTATACTTGAGATACCTACGGCTGCTCTATCAGGACCCTATCTTAGGTTGAGCCACAGAGAGGGAGCTGCGAAATTTGTTACGTCGACTATAGTAAACATTAATATGAAGCATGGCATATCGCATCGAAGTCTGCAAAGAACATTTCTTGATGCCATAGTCACTAAACGGTTGAAGATACGCTGTACGTGGATCGACTCAATGTGCATATATATCTATCGAGACCGAACGAAATGCCATAGAAACTTGAGGTTTCGACCTCTGCTTTGTGAATGTTTTAGTACTTTATGTGTGAGCTAAGGGCTGTGCTAATTGGTCTACAGACTCGGCACTCTGGAGCAGCTCAACAACTTGGTCAGTATAGGTCAAGTTCTTATAAGATATCTTGAATATCAAACAATTACTATTTCTCGTTTTTTCCATCCAGAGCGATCTAAGCCATTGGTATCCGGCGCCTCTGCTATTCCAACTCGACGATAATCCACGGAATTGCCTTGACTTGTTGGTTCTAGTAATAAACAAAGGAATACTGCCTTTTCTTCAACTGATCCGTTGCTTGGACGTACATGTCTCTGAATTTGAAATAGAACCACATCAGGCTGATATTTATCTGAACGCCACTCTACCTCATTATCCCTTTCCTCCCCATTTATATCTTCTTCTCTATCAATATCATCTTCATGTTCATCTTCACCTTCATCTTGAGGAGTTAAGTCAAAGTCACAAACCAGCTGAAAATACGGTACTTGATATCTTTTTGCATTTGTGAAGTGCGGGCAGTGGAGCTACTCACCCGACCCCAGCGCTCAGTGGGTGCTATTTTGATGTTCGGGCATTTATTGGAGTGTTTACTACTCTTCTTAGGGAGTCCAGAGATGCTGTGGATTGGGGGAAACTTTGGTTGAACAGTGGAAAGAGACAGAGGTGTAAGTTAGAATTGGGAGGAAGAAAAACTGTTTTTCCGGTGCACGGGCATTAGCGTTGCATGGTTGAGGGTAGTTCAGAATGTTGGTTGGATTTATATAATATGTATCGTGATAGATGGCAATAGATAGTTTTGCACACCCACAGCGAGCTGGCAGTGAAATGTTTGAACTGACCCACCTCAGGCAGCACAACATGGCACGATGCTTGTCTTGGTCAAGTCGGCTCTTTTATTGCCTCGGATGTGTCGAAAGCCTTAAGAAATAAGCATCAAGCTTACTCATCATAGCTAACCTCCATCTCATCCTGGTCATCTCCAAGGTATAAACCATTGAGATCACGATTATCGTCCCCGCTATCAGCAATCTTCTTGAACAGCTTCCTTGCCTTGATCTGCTCCTCTTCCAGGCTTCTCTTCCCCCGTTCGTGATCAGAGATCCTTTGCCGTATCAAGAATCTTCGGTCTGTATCGTTCCCTTCCTCATCTTCCTGGATTGGCATCGCCGGAACGGACAAGTCTCCTATGTAAAGCGCAAGCATGCCTCGAAGCCTCAATAGTGTTTGACTATCAGAAAACGGCGGGCTGGTCATGAGCTCATCCATCCTCCCGGCTATGTTCTCAGATGACAATAAGGCAGTTTGGCGAGCATCATCCTTCTGCGCCCATCTCTTTTCCGCTTTGCGCCAACTTCTTTTGTCTTTCCTTCTTTGCTCAATAGCAGCAGCATCGCCGTCTTCATCACTAATATGACTCTCAGCATCTTCGAAGACGTCGCTATCACTGTCACTCCCATCTTTGTCTTCGTCTTTCTCTTCGGCCCTTGCGATCCTTTTCAAGCTCTGCTTCAGTTCATGTTGTATCCCGTATATTTCGCATGATACCATCGCAGGCCAAAAGTCCAACGCACTAACACTTCCGTGAAACTGTCTCTTGTAAGGATATTGTAGAATCAGCCTCTCGAAATATGCTTTCGCCCTCAGAAGTCCGTCTTTGGAACCCCATCCTTCCTCATTGAGTTCCTTATCCCTGTCATTCAAATTGTCTTCATCATCAGCCTCATAGTCAGAGTCCTCGTCTGCGTGGAATCTATTCCTCGCTTTACTCTCCCCACTCCGAATCAGCAACTCTGCCCCAATGCCCCAGTATCCAGAACTTCTGATATCCATCCCAGCTCCCGCAACTTGCTCTCTGATCAGCAGTGCCCAAGTCCGGCTAGCGCGAGTTATATCGCCCTCTAGCAAACATCTCTGCAACACTGCTGTGAGTACACTAAGATGCTGCATTCGTAACTTCGGTCCCCGATTCGTCTCTTGCACCGGCACCGCCTTATTATCCTTTTCTTTATCCTCTCCATCCTCAGCTCTCATTTTCCCCTTTCCATCTCTCTGTTTCGTCTTCACATCAGGGGTAAACCATTGCTTCTCACCTGGCAGTCCTCTATGAGGCCACCCCGGTACACTAGGTATCTCCTCATTCAAATCTAATCCTGCAAGCCTATATTGCGCAATCTCATCAGGCGTTAAGCTCAATGGGTTCGTGGATGCTGGTGGCAAGCCGCTGCTGTATTGCTGAGCATATTCCTCTTCGGATGAGGAAGAGGATGCGCGTTTTCGTTTTCGGGTGAGGAGGCGCGACGTGAAGTGTACGCGGGCTGAGGTAGATGCTTTGGTGGCTGTGGAGAGAGGGAGGGCAAATAGTGGCATCTTCAGATAGTAGATGTGGTGATTCCTTTGTTTTAGGTTGTCATGTTTGAGAGAATTTGAATTGAGGACTTGTGGTGAGGTGGGATTTTTGGGGCAAGGCTGTTCTCCAGCCTTGTAGCGTCAGAGGTCCGTGCGCAGACAATTTTCAATAAACATTTGCAGTTGGTTCACGATCAAGAATTGAACCTTCAGATATAAGTGTTTAAAGAAGTTCGGATTCAAGATATCTTATTATTTTTCTTCAGTCTACGAATTGAAGTTGATTCTAATGTACATTGAACTTTACTGGTGTCACAAACGGAGCCTAGCAGCAGAAAATTTGTGTACCAAATCCTATGTTTATTCTCACCCCTTTTTAAGTTTCCTGTACCTTTCAGGCCTTCTTGTGTTTCTATTCTGCATCTGCTAAAGTTACAACAAGTTTCGTCCCACTGACGCCTGCCCTGAGCTTATCGAAGACCTCCTGAGTAGCAGCAATTCCCCCTCCAGCAATTTCTATCTCCGGTGCCGGAACTATACTCCCATTCTTCAACGAATTCTGCAGATAATCATTGAAGAACCAAGCTCCCAATTCGGATTGATCTGTTCCTACCCGCGCCGCTAAAGTCATTGAGATCTCCATTCCTTCCGGCTTTGGCTCATTCTCAGACCACGAAAGCACCAGGACCAATTTGGATCCTGCGCTGCCAAAAGCAGTCAGAACGTCTGCAGACTGCCTTGCACTCGTCCCTTCCATGACTGCGTCAAACGCCAGCTTGATGGGCGTCCCGGCAGAGCGAGCGGAAGCAGCAATTTTGCCAACCACTGCGGGGTCATGATAATCGAACACGTCGAAGGCCCCGAGAGAGCGGAGATATCGATGGTGGGTTGGGCTCGCTGTTACGAAGACTTTGAAGCCCAGGTTCTTAGCCAATTGCAGAGCCGATACTCCAACTGAGGAGGAGGCACCCCAGATCAGAAGTCCTGACTTCTGTAGAGTTGGCTGTCCTGTGGGGCGTGATATTCGGAGTTGGACGAAGAGCGCGATAGCTGAGGTTGCCATGGCCATTGGGAAAACACATCCTTCCTTATAGGTCATGCCATCGGGGATCTTGGTCGTCGCAATCTCTCTCAAGACAGTATATGTCTGCCACGCACCGTGGTTCAAGTCGTTGTTGTAGATGACTGCAGCGAAACCCGTGACCCTATCTCCGATTCTGAATTTGGAGATAGCAGAACCCACAGCCGTAACCACGCCACAGCAATCACTTCCCAGGACTGTTGGATATTTGTTTATGACGGCGCCGAAGTGTTGTATCTTCCAGTCCACAGGATTGGCCGCAATGGCGTAGTTGCGAACGACGAGTTCGTCAGGCCCCGGAGTCGCAATTGGCCGCGACACAGTCGTCAGTCTAGCCATAGGCTTTTCTAGCACCGCTGCCAGGTTCTGACTCTTGCCTTGGTTCTGGTTCGCCATTATGAGATTGATATGTTTGTGGGAATTGAGATCCACTGGTTGAGATAATCACTGATGATTTCGATGAGGTTGGGATGTTGGGAGAAGAATGCGCCGGGTCGGAGTTAAAGTTAACTCCTACGAGTGGCCATAAAACACAATAGGAGTTAAGAAGCTGAAAACCCGAGACGGCAGGTGTTGTGTCAGTTTGTCACCAGAAATACGAGCTATTGGTCAACATGGTTATAGATACGATAGACTTCGTCAATTTCCAACGTTGTGCTCTTTTATAGCAAACAACAACAACCTCACGCTTTGGACTACCTGAACGAGCAAGTGATATTGAAGACTGAAGTCAAAAGCAACCCAGCATTGCAAGAACTACCCGGGAGCCAAAAGGAAAGTAACCACAAGCGCGACTAGTATATCCAGTTCTTTTCTTTCCCATTTGACATCAATTAGCCGTCTGTCCTGATTGGTTTTGGTTCTGGACAAAGACAACCAGAACAGCAGAGAAGCTGAACAATAGGTTAGTGACCAAAATAACTGCGACGTTCCACATGGAAGAAGCTGACTTACGCAGCAGTAGCAGTAAATATCTGTACCCTCGAGGTCCCAGCATCCGTCAGCATCATAAGGCCCAGCGCAAAGGCCGTAGTAAAGCCAGCAATGAGGCCTAGCAGCTTTCCTGTAGTGTGCATATTGGAGAGCACAGCTATGGCTGCGGTAGGTAAGAGACACGCAAGGATAGTTGCGACAACAGAGGTGAACTGGAGAATGCTATGTTCGCTGTACTTGGTAAGTGTCGGCTCTATATCTTCCGGGTTTCTACGTTTCTCTTGGGCGGAATCCGGCGTCGCTGTGCTCTCAAAGAATGGTAGACACATTTTCCTCTTATTGCCTTTCCAGCGCTCCCGGATGCTCTCATGGACGCTCTCCCAAAATGGCACGCCTTCGCTGGCGACCCATTGGGTCAAGCCGTCAACTTTGTGGTCATAGCGAGGAACGATAAGATCTAGGTCGTCTCCCTCCCCTTTCTTAATTTTCTTGGTCCAGAATATACTGAGTAGGAGGTGGCCAAATTGCCGTGCGAGGGAGGCTGGCGCATCCTTCTTCTGGGTGATTTTTCCTCATATGTCATGGCCATGCCCACTTATTGGAATGTTATCTCCGTGGACGTTCCTCAACCAAACCCGGAGGCTATTCACATTAAGCTTGTCGGCTTGTGGGAGGGCGGATATCTCTTTGTAGAGAAGAGCCTCACCTAGAGTGTAACAATATGATCAGCGCTGAATTCAGCATTGGGCATTCAACTTACTATATTCTTTAAGAACTTGGCGAATTTTCTTTATCAAGTCCAGCTGATAGCGCCCTTCCTCAGTCTCGTTGTGCTCACAGTCAAGCAGTTGGTCTACCCTCTTGCCGAGGTTTCCTGCCTGTCCAAACTCCCCGTATCGATGATCGTTCCACTCGGTGTCATGGAGACTGCTTTTCAATCCATCTAGCTCGGCCTGGTAGTAGAGTAGACTTTTTATATGAAGCTCTCTGAACGGCTGGAAGGCTTCTAGATCGGGATTTTTGTTGATTAGCTGTGCAAGTTCGGGCCATCCATGCAACGGTAATTGGGGGTTATCATCGGGGTCTGACAGTCCTTTCACCATCTTTTCCCAGTTACTGTTACAGTAATTACATTCATGATCCGTGGAAGATGTTGGAGATTCAACCATCACTACTGTATCAGAGCCTGATCTTGAGGAGTTTGTAGGGCTTGATAAGGCTGGCGAAAAGCCGCCATGCTGGTTGGAACTTTTAATATGAAGATCGGCTGAGGCCATGTTATCGAATGCGGAGAAGATAATTCAAGGGAGCAAAGGTCCTGGAGGCTGGTAGAAGACGAAGTAGTAGCTATGGTATCCAATATAAAACAGACCGTTCAAATAGGCCCAGCTTCACAAAGCGCAGTATTCAAAATCACGTTGATGATCGGCCCACGAGTCTGCCTGATGCTGTATTGTTCAACTCACTGTAGGGGATCTAATGTCACCCGTAGGAATATGAGCTGGTCATTGGACCATACATACATTGCATTCCGTGATATGCGGATCTGGGCAACTTCAGCCCATGATGCTCAGGGTGGGGGAGAGTGGCTGTATGCGAGAGCAAGAAGTTGCATCTAGACTGTGTGCGTCGCAATGACTTTCTTCGGTGCAGAAATCCGACCGATCAAATTGTCTCCCAGTACTCTCTTTACACAGCCTATACAGCGAGGATCACTAGTCAAACATCTTAATACTAAATTAATTAGGAGTTGCAAGTTTCCTTGTTAGACTTTATGCGACAATGATCTGGAATTTTAAAGTCTTCTGAAGGTTGATCAAACATCGTGGGCGATGATTTCAACGTCCCCAAAAGCTTGAAAAGCAAGCTGGTCCGCTGGTCCGCTGGTCCACCTGTCGGGTAACAAGCGTAGCTGCACAGCCTTTCAGGTTTGGAGATAGCCATATCTTGACGAATAGAAAATATATTGGAGTGCATGCATTAGTCTCCGGGTGTTTATATGTGAGAAGATGAATAATAATTGTGCCACCACACTTGCAGAGTACTGAGAATCTTGTTTTGAACCGGGTGAGCTTCCAAGCCTTTCATAACAACGTGTTATGAGCAAGCTTGTCGTGTATTCAGAACTGCAATAGCTCTACTAGCAATAATAATTCTGGTCCCAAGTAAATTCGTAGATGAAATAAGGATGGTAGGGAAAACGGGCTGTGTCGCTTTGCAAAAAAAGGCTTGAAGTGCAAATTCGAAGAGAGCCTCAATGGGCTGAGATAGGCTGCTGATGCGCTGGCACGGCTTACTCCCATCTGCGGGGTCAGCATGTTTCTTTGTCAGACTGAACAGGTGTGATTATGCAACTTGCATGCACATCGACGAAAATGTCAACGATAAGAGGCTCTGCTGCTGGAGAACTATCAACAGCCTTGTAAATGCTCACATGGCCGATGCCTTGATACACGGTCTCGGGATATATGAAAGACTACATGCCACTGAGCTCGAAGGCTTTTAGACAACTTTTTCATACGTATGAAATATAATGAAAATTCTTTGGCCTTTGAAAGTCATGAGCCGCGATTCTATAAAAGCACATGTATAGCGACTATCCTCATACCGGAACCACTTTTGGGCTTCACTATCTGGTGAACTGACAGCCTTCTCGCTCACTGGAGCTCGAAGCATACGAACGATTCAAACTTCCATCACTCTTCTTGTTTGAGAGGAAGTCACTCTTTAATAGGGACAAGAAGCATCTAGCACTGCGAACCGTATTGCGAGCCGTGCCTTTGAATAGGGGCCTTATTCTTTAGGGCAGGCAGACGGGTTGGCCCAAGGTTCGGTGAAAATCTGACAACAAGACACGAGCTTCTTGAGTAAGTGTGGATTTAAAGGTAGGTCTTCGAAGAATGGTTGATATACACCGCACATCATCAGCCTACGAGGAGTCACATCCGCTTAAGAACGCCAATCACACTGCGAATTTGCTCTGCTCACCGCTTCAGTCATGCGCCCCCAATACACCCTTTAATAAGGTATCGCCCGGACATCGCCATAAGGTTGAAAACTCTGCCGTCTTCACAGTGGCCGTGCAATTGCCTTAGGCGCTGCCTAAGAAGAATCAATTAATGGGAAGGGTTTTTGTCGGACGCGGGAAAATGGTACGACCCGACTCAACACCAAACGTGTTCCGGCCCCAAGTCAGCACTCCAAAATAGCACAGCGGGCCTATGAAGCAGATTTTTCCACCTTGTTACTCAGCCTCCACCAGATTTAAGCGTAAGCAGCTGTCAAGTGAGGCTCTTTCTTTTTGCTTCTCCGTGGCGAACCAGTCGTTTACCAGAGCAGCTTCCGTTATATAAGGTAAACAAGGTCCTACTATCCACAAGGTCCAAACTGTCGAATCGAAAGTGTTCTGTGTAACCGAAAAAAGAATTGTGGCAAACGACAACACTGCTAGGACAGGCACACTCATTGGCACTATGGCTAGCAACGTTTTCCTGTCTGCGAACTCGCCTGGCAGCTTTTCTGCAAACCGTCGTCGCTCTCTCTCGGTTACCCCCTCCCAAAGATCCAGCAGATCTCGCATCACACTTGTGGAGAATGATCCCGGCCTCGTTGTGTACGACATTGAGAAAAGTGATCATCACAACGTTGTGAACTACCAAGCCCCAAAATACACTTGGCGGGATCATTTGCTTGGAGTTTTCTGCTTCAACGTCTCAAAAGTAAAAGAGCGCTTCGTAAAGGAAGAAATTCATCAGCCGAAATCTCTTCAGGAACCTGAGGTAATATCACCAGCCTTGTCGCCTCTCTTGTCTTATGCTGACACAATCTCTCGAAGATGGATCAAAGCTCCTCACCATGGATCCTTCCTGTGTACGTTCTCTCTACTCGAAGGGACACCGAAAAACACCACATTCCGAAGGAAGCCAAATGCACCATCGACACCGGAAACATGCAAGGCAACATCGTGTCTCGAGCATTCGTTGAGAACGTCCTCGAATTCTCTTCTGCAAACTTCTGCGAGTTGACCGTGGAAGAGAAGGAGGGTGGGACTGGCATTACTGGCCATAGGCTCATTCCCGACGGTGCTATCTATTTGACATGGTATCACAAGAAAAGCACCAGAGTCTTCCGTAACATGCGCTTCTTGATATCACCACATCCGCAGTGCGATCTCATCATTGGTGCTCGGTCAATTCAAAAGGACAAGCTACTGTCTGTGCCGAATTTGATGAACGAGGGCCGGGTACGGGCTGATAAAGGCAGATTGTATGTGAAGTTCGAGACCGAAACTGGTAAATCAACATCCTCGCTTGTACTTGGAATCAAAGCTAATTCTCGTCATAGACCCAAACAGAACGGAACTCTACAACGCTTGGTCAAACGCCAACGAGGAGTTTCTGAAGCATGATATAAGACTTACAGAGGCAAAGAGGAAAAATTTGACCGGTCAGATTGCTCGCTTGGAGAAAAAGCTTAAAAAGCCCCAAGAAGAGCTTTGGATTACAGTCCTTGAGCTAGAAATATACGACTGGGGTCATGGCCAAGACATCGCGAGCTTCAAACCGGCCGACAGAAAGAAGAAGCTTGCTGAGAACTATGAAACTCTTGAGAAAATTGAGGGGTATAAGCCTGTGGACTCACTCCTGCACAAAGTCATTGGCTCCAAATGGAAACAGGAATGATTTTACCACGTCCACGAGTAACGAGTTGGTTAGAGGGCTGCATGGCTCCATGCATCATTTCTTTCCAATCATTACAATGGAGGTAGAATTCTTAGGGCGGGTAAGCTTTCCAGGCGCTGGGTGTCCCATTTTTCATAGAATACTGAGCAATCAATGCATGATTTGGTCTTTTTACGGCGCTTTTTACCTTCTACAACCTTGTGTGCCAGGGAAGAATATCGTTGATCTTGTTTAGACTGGTGAACAAATACATGAATGGAACATTTCAAGTAATGTACTGGCAGAGAAATTGGTAAAAATAACAAAATTTCCTCTTCCACATGAAAAGTGGGGCCGATAAAAAAGGGGGCCCCTGAAAATACCCCAGGTTTTCGCTTCAAGCCTGCGCCGTGTGCTAAAACATCGCGTCCAAAGTCAAAAACAACCTCCAAAAACAGATACAATAATGTCCATCTATCTTCTCGCACTCCCACAATAATGGCGCCATGGAATCTAAAAGCGCTGCTAATAACCACCGCCTTGTACCTCAACAACTTAGCTGAAGCCGCAATCCCTTCAAATTGCGAGTATACTATCAATCCTGCAGAAATCGCGCGCTGCCAGAAGCCGCTAGACGACATCACAATCGTAAACCCCGGTGAACTTATCGTCGCAAAGCTGCAATGCATTGGATGTCCGACGGTGGAGCGGACTGAACGGGGAGGACATGTGCTTACTCACGATGAGAATGCTCTGGTATGTAGATAGTAGATCGGGATTCCCACCAGTGATACTATACAGTATGCTGATTGATTGTGATATCCTCAAGTTATTCACCATCAGCCTCTCCTCATCCCGTACCGCCCTCCTCGTAAACGCCATCGAGCTCTTCCCCGCGCTGCAGCTCCCTCCCCGCCCCAACTTCCTCGTCACCCAAGTCCCGCTCAACTACAGCGTCGGCGCCCTCGCCGCGACACTCGCCTGCGAAGATCGGCAACGTGGATGCGTTGGCGGTCGCTGTGACGTGTGCGTGGAAAATGCCCTCGGTGCGTATTCGGCCAGCTTCGACTATTCCGTGGCCCAGACACCGGAGGGGGGTAGCAATGCCTGGACGGTGCATTTGGATGCTATTGGGGGTCATAATGGGTATATGGTGGATCCGTACGTGGGGTTTGGAGCATTGGAGCAGCGCGTGCTGGCTGTTTCTGTCAAGGTAGATGGAGCGACTGGGGGTCTTGAGATAACGGGAGCGGAGCTTGTGGAAAGGGGGCACGCTCCTGTTATTGTGGTTCTCACGCGCTGGGAAAAGGTGCTGAGGTTCTTTGGGTTGGAGAGTTGTAGGGGGAAGGAGCATGGACATGTCGTTTATATGTTGTTGGAATGGGATGACTATGGCAAGGTTGGGACGTTGAAACATTTCCTTCTCGCACTGTGGGGCGAGTGGCCATGGTATTTGATCACTATTATTACAGTGAGTGTGATGGCCGGCTTGGCGATCATCTACTACGTTTCTAAGTTCGCGATGGATGTTCGTAGGATTATGATTCGTAACGATAGGCTTTCTAAGGGAGAAATCCTTGAAGATGAGGATAAGGAGGAGAGGGCTGGATTGTTGAATGAGCAGGATCATTCTTGATAGAGACCTCGCTACAATAGAAATTTAATCCACAAGACACCAAATTCGGAACGCTCACGGTCCCCAAACAAGGAAGGAGGATAGTGGAGATGCGGGCAGGTTTTCGTGATAATGCACCGAAGATACAAGATATTGGGCTCATGCCCATTGCCCACCGGAGATATACCCCATACAACCAAGGACACGTCCAGTAAGCCAAGCAACCTCCGCTGTAGAGATCTGAGCTAAATATTTACAAGTCTAGAAAGCTGTCTCGCAGTGTGGTGTATAAATTCATCATCTGGAGTAAAATAGCACTTGTGTCATGCGCAGCTGAATTGAATTTATCAAGAGCAACATTCTCCGCCAAGATATACAGTACACTGCACTTTGGTTGTCCCGGTGGGAGGAAGGGAAACATGCTTGAATCGACGAGGTTCGCCGCATTCGGAACCTGGTGCACCCGTTCAGTGTTTGCTGGCCCTGGCAACTAGGCCGGTCGGAAGCTGGCCGTGCTGGAGATGCTATCCACGATTAGCCGTACGTTATAAAGGCTTGATGTTCGGGCTGCGCCGGGTCAGAGGTACAGAGAAGGGGCGCCGGAGCTTGGATGGGGCAACGGGAGTGTACACAGTATATGCTACCGACTCGTACATCCGTATGCGTGATGGGCCGGTAGTGCAGCTGAGTTCAGAAAGAGACAAGATATCACAGAGGGTGAGCATTAACAGCTAGGTTAATTGACTGAGACAAATATGAAGATAAAAGAAGAGAAAGAGTTACGAGTATAGAAGTGGAAGTTGGGTTGGTGTTGGGTAAGGAATAAACAACCTCATAGGCATGGACCACCCTTCGCGGAGCCTAGAGCATTTTCTTGTGTAACCTTTCTACACCAATCACATACCGCACAGCAGATCCTTTCGATTTTACTAAAACATGCCCGCACACAGGGTTTTATCTTTTCTGTACCCTAAGGGAATATTATGGAATCATGGATGGAAGTGGGTACGCACAAGGAGGAGAAAATAAATGATGCTTAGGCGCTGGTAATCATGCTGGCTTGGTGAAATTATAGGCAAGCTTTTACTATTTGGAGATTTCAGTATATATTCAACAGCTCTTATCACGGTAATATAAGTACTATGGTCAGCTAGGTTCTTGTTATATTTAAAGGTTTTCAATAAACTTTCGCAAGATTGGCACATATTCTGTTTAAGTAAAAAATGTTCTTTCCCAAAGCATTTCAATTTCCAAGGTATCTAACTCCAGCCCTAAACAGTGTAAACTCAAAATCTATGTTTTCAAAACTTTCAAAACAGCAATCCATAGTCCCTTCTTCTCCCATTAATCATATTCATATCCCTCAATCCAGCACCCAACCTGTTACTCCCCCAATCATATCCTAGTGCCCCCCTTTCCCTCTTTACCTAGCAATCCACCGTCCACTCTCATCCCTCTGATCATACTCATGTCCCTCATTGACCCACTTGCGAGTTCTGCCCGTCCTGCCAACTCCCTGTGCACGCAGCTTCCTCATGCGTCGCTTCTTCTCCTTCTCTCTCTCCGGTGCGAGGGCCTCATATTCCTCACATGACCAAATCATATTGCCCTTCTCGATGTGACCTATAACACAACACATTAGCACTTTTGAACACACCAAAGGCATTTTCTTTTTTGGGACTTACTAGGAGAGCTGATGAATTTCTTTTCAACCTTAACCTCCGGCTCCCCCAAATCCAACTCTGGGATATCGTCCAGATCCTCGTCCTCGATGGCCCTGTATGGACGTGGCAGTTCCGGCTTTCTGGCTCGTGGTTCCCGGAAGAGCTTCTCAGGGTCTGAGAAGGCCGGGAGGATCCATTGGCCGCCTTGATGTGAGAGCTGGATGACATTGGCGCGGGTGTGGGGTTTGGTGTACGGGGCCGCTGTTGGGCGGCGGTAGTTGGGGTCTTTGATGATAAGCTTTATTGGCTCTCCTGGTGCGTGAAGCTTGTGATGAAAGCTTGGTGGAGGAGAGCTGCCTTTGTTGATGGCTTTTGATGGGCATCTGATGACTAGCTTGATCGGTTCACCAGGTGAGTGAAGCTTGTGATGAAAGGCCGTTGGAGGCGAGAGTTTGTTGCTAATGTTGCTGATGTTTCTGATGTTGTTGATAAGCTCCATTGGATCTCCGTGTGTCTGGAACGTTGCATGGGAGTTCATGGGAGGTGAGGCGCTTTTGCCGTCGTTCTTGGAGTTAGTTGCCTTTGATGGGAATTTGAGGATGAGCTTGATCGGTTCACCAGGTGCGTGACGCTTGGAAGCATAGCCCAATCCATCGGAGATGCCGCGGTCGTTGAAGGTGTTGATAACGATATTCGTCGAGTACTTGGTGATGATTTTGTAGATACGAGGATGCTTTCCGACAGCATATTTGGTTGAGGCCGGGATTTGATTGTTGTCAATGGCATTCTCGGAGCATTTGAGGATGATTTTGACGGCACGCTTTGTGTGAGTTGGGACCTCTCTCAAAGGCGAGCGGCCATCCTTCTTGTTGATAGTAAGCTTGATCAACATTTTCGCGGTTGGTGCTTTATAGACGGGTTCTGAGAGATTCTCTTTAGTGGTAAGTATGTTCTGGGAGTGGGGGGCCCAGGACAATCGAAGTCGGTGTAGTCGTTCCGAGTTTTGTTGTCGAGAATATCTCACAGGTATGAGATATCTTGGCGCCGATGTACTAAATCTTCGAGCTGGAATCCGGAAAGTCGAAGATTGTTGTGATTATCTTTAGCGTTGTCGGTGTCGTATAAGTTAATGTCACAAAAGTCGTTGCCAATCTTCAAAGTATGAAGTTCAAGAGAAAACAATAATTTGAAGTATTGTAAGTTGGAAGTGTGCGTGGGCTGGTGAGTGAACTTTCGCCAGATTATTATATGAGCCTCTCACTACAGTCCGGATCGAAATCTGAGCTAGTGAGTGCAAAGGATTTTTTTCATTGGTTGCCGCTATGGGGTTACTATGTTGTAAATGAACTTGTGATGGGCGATAGTAGCTTCACCCTAAGCAATTTTTTTTCTAAACCAAAAATAATAAACACGGGCTAGTATAAAGCTTTAACCCCATTACAGTAATTTGTGTATTAAAGTGTCAAGATAGAAAAATCACTACATGAGCTCAGTTTGACGAAACCCAGCCCCTTTTATTAAGCGAGGGTACAATATTGCAGCAGTCAACTTCACTTGCAGCCCCCGCAACTAACAACCTCCATGTTCTCCCAAGAATATTCCCAAGCATTCACAATATCAAGGTTCGTTTTCGTAGGTCTCTTTATTTCATGTGGTTTATCATTCCTTTTGACATTTTACCTTTCGTAAACCATAAAATAACCACCAGAAGGTTTATTTACTTTTGAATTTTCGTTTTCATACTTAGATTCCCCTACAATACCGAAGAAAGGCATCCCAAAATCAATGCCTATGTTTGACCTATACTTGCAGAGACAAAAGCTGAACACAGAGGCTTGATGCTAACCTCAAATAACGAGTTTTGATCGATCGACTGAAACTCGCAGACCTACTAAAGACGTTCTCAAAACATCGAATCCTCATTTTCCTACCCTGATTTGCCAGTTCTCAAGCAGATTGAGGAACAATATACAACAAAACCGGTCAATGGTGTATGTATCGGTGCCAGGCCCGCCAAAATTGAATCAAATATTCACCGCATTAGGCTAGTGGTGCGATACTAGAACATGTTTAGTATATATATCACCATCTACTCTATCCAATCATACATGTCTTTAGGAAAGAACGATGTTTTCTCTTTATGATTTTGCGCTCGCACAAGATCAAAGATCGGTTTGATGTCAACAACACAGGATATGATCATATGAAGGAGCTCGAGCTTAGAGTGGAACTGTAGAAGTAGCAATGTAAGAATTAAGGCACGTTGGCATCTATTGTAGAATTAAAGCGACGAGACTTCGAAACGAACGAATGGCTGGCATGGAATGACAGCAAAGCTACACTTGACAACAGTTCCTTTTTCCGTATCTGGCTGATAATTCCACTCGGAGACCGTACCATGAGATATCATCCTAGTTTATAACGAGGGATGAGGTCGTTCAGCTGTTTTAGGTCGAATTGTAGTTCTTCTACCGATGCGGGCAACTTTGTATTGATTCTTCCATATTATGAGATCCTTCTTCGTGCGCGAGGGTTTCAAGTATGTGGGAGGGGAGGTTTTGTGGGAGGTGATAGGGTGGGTGGGTTGTCGAGGTTAAATAGTGGTTTCTGTCGGTCTGGAATTGGTCAAGTATCAAAGTACTTAGCTGTGGTAGAAGAATGAAAAGAAGTAGACAGGCCGAAGCTGGAGCGGCATGGATGTGCAATGGAAGAGGAAACGAGGATATGTTTCGTACGACTGCTTTTAATACTGCTTATAAACAACTTGATGGTATATGTATGCAAGAAACACGCCCGTACCCACCCCTAACACCAACGCAAAAGTATCACTCCAACCCCATATCCTCGTCCTCACTATCGCCCTGCCCGGCTCCACCCCCCCTCATCCTCCTCCCTCTCCCGTCTCGCCGCCTCTCTACTAGCCCCAAGCTTCCTCAACCCATCCATAACACCTACCATAAACTCCCTCCCCTCCGCAACCTCCATCGCACCTACACCCCTCAGACTACTAATGCCGCCACCCTCCAAATCCTTCGTACTAGCCCTCATCTTCGCCATCCTGACCTCTCTGAGGCCCCGCAACACGGTCCTTACCCTATCAGGATCCGGGATATCGTCACTACAAGCCTCGAGTAAGATCTCGCCGAGCTCGAGCCAATGGTATGGAAGGTAGTCGGGGGGCGAATCGGCGGTACTCGAGGGCAGGAAGGGGGGCGAGATGTGGTTTGTTGCGCTGGGGAGGACGGATATAGCGTAGGGGTGCGGTGGAGGGGGAGAGAATGTCTCGGGGGATATTTCGGTTTCGTGTTTGAGGATTTTGTCGAGGGAGGCGGGGAAGAGCCATGGTGGGGGGAGGATGTTGGCTCTGCGTTGGCGCTTCAGGAGGAGAGCAAGCCAGAGTGGTAGCGGAACTCGGTGAGGTGGTCGCAGAGGTTGTGTTGCGCCCTGAGAATATTGGCTTTTGTTGGGAATGAAGATTCGGGGAGGGGAGGGGGGTATTCTTTCTCAATCGCGGGGTTGGCGGGGTACTCACTGCGAGTAAATCTAAGCTTTCCAGTTTCTGGCGTGGAACTACTGTAACCATTTCCATCTCACAGAGAAATGCGACCTCTGTTGGTGTCAAACCTGGTGTCAAAGGTAATGCCATGATAGAACGTTGTGGTATTCTGTGTCGTCTTTTGTGATAAGTCAAGACAAGTCGAGACACGACGCGATCTTCAAGTTGACGCGACATGGAGTGGCTGCCAAGCCAAGGATCAGCGTTTAAAGAGGTCGGATTGGGCCTAGCGCGTCTAGACCTCGACTATTGGGGGCAGACGCAAACAACCGAGTTTCTCTCCTGTTCCTGTCTTCCTGTCACATTTGCTTCCGTTAGACGCGAAGCACGTTTCCGTCCATTGCCGGTGGCAGGTACAACCCTGAATGTGATAGACCTCTCGTGTTCATCAACGGGATCATGAAAGATCGTGTCAAACCGTACCGCGCGGATACAGATACAGATCTCCGTTCCGAGCATCAGGATCCGGCGACGAGCAGCCTACAGCTTTGGAAGCGGACCTTCGCATGGCTGGGACGCTTCTCGATGGATATGAATATGGGATGGAACACAGGCCTCAGCTGCTGGCTTGATCTAATCTCTAATTATAGTGAGTGGAATCAAAGAAAAACCATCAACTGCACAGAGACTGCTCTTAGCCGAGTATGTAACTTGAGAATAGCTTCACAAGTATATACATATCATGTGGCAAGTTTGACTTGGAATGTCTCAGCCGTTCGTTCAAACCTTCTATTCTCTTCTTGATATGCCCTGATCTCGCGTCGTATATTAGAGGTAGGGAAGTGTAACAGATGGGTTCTTGCTTCATCGATTGGTACAGTGGTACCAGATGGATTCGATCATCTGGCAGGTCGTGTATATAGTCCGATCTATAAGTGGGGTTTCTACGCACTTTCCACCCTTTCATTTGAACAAAAAGAGAAAGTGCTGTTGCTATCCGCTCGTGGGCCGGTGATGGATGGCAGCCGTTAGAAGTCGTACAATCACGTGGGAGTACGCAGGACACGGTAGGACTTGTGTGCGTCGCCCAATGGGGCAATACTGAAGCCGAGCTGAGTTTCCACTTAAGCTGCGGGATCACAAGAACGGAGTTTCCATGCACTTTCATAGGGGCAATCTGGAAAGAAAGCTGAATTATTTTTGTAGAATTAAGACAGAGGTTGAATTGGGACTGGAATTGGAATTTCAATAGGCGGTAAGTAAACGCTTTCTCAGACGCGCCTGCCTCATACTGTGTCTTGACAGACCGCCTCATTGCAATGGCAGACGAGTACTTAGAACCTTACTCCGCCCCTCAAGCCTTCTCCCCACACCCGCCTTTCTGCCTTTCTTGCCAAACAATCACAGAATTGATCTTCCTCTTGCTTTATCTCTCATTCTCACTTCCAAACCTTCAAACCTCCAAGTCTTGAATCCAACCGTAGCCAGGTCCAGAATGGCGTCGCAAGAGCTAAAGATCATAACCTCCAGCATCGATGTTGCTGATGTCGATGCAGCTGAGAAAGGCATTGTCCTCGTCCACTCCACCACCTCTGAAGCTAAGTCGGGCATGCCCGATGCACCCAGCGCTCCCTTCGATGAGGCAGCGACTAAGAGACTCCTTCGGAAGTTGGACTTGCGATTGATTCCCTTCCTGGCCTTGATCTACTTGTAAGTCTTTCGCCGTGTTGGAATCACTTTTTCCACTCGGGTTTTGTATCCACACTAACATTCGTCCAGACTATGCTTCCTTGACCGCACCAATGTTGGCAATGCGCGTCTGTTCAGCCTTGAGAAAGACCTTCACATGAAAGACCTCGATTACAATGTTGCCCTTGCCATCATGTTCCCATTTTACGTCTTCGCCGAGGTCCCGAGTAACATGATGATGAAGCGCATCCGACCCAGTATCTGGCTGGCGGTGATCATGGTTACCTGGTCTATTGTTATGATCTGCATGGGATTCGTTCGCAACTATCCCGGCCTTCTAGTCGGAAGATCTTTCCTCGGCCTTTGCGAAGGTGGACTCTTCCCCGGCGTGAGTTACTACATCACCATGTGGTATAAGCGTCGCGAGTGTGGTACGCGTCTCGCCTTCTTCTTCTCGGCAGCTACGGCAGCTGGCGCGTTTGGTGGCCTTATCGCACGTGGTATTGCTGAGATGAATAATGTGGGTGGCTATGCAGGCTGGAGATGGATCTTCATTCTTGAGGGCTTACTCACACTTGTTGTTGGAAGCTTTGCGTACTGGATCATCCAGGACTATCCCTCAACGTAGGTATCCACTAGCAATCTTGAGAACTGAGCTAATGGATGTATAGCGCTGGCTTTCTCAGTACAAAAGAAAAGATCGAGGTCGAGCGACGACTTGCGGATGACAATGATGGGCTGGCCACTGAATTTAATATGAGATATGTTTATCAAGCTTTGCGAGATTGGAAAATATGGGTCATGTCAGTCATCGCCATTGGTATTCTTACGGCAATATACTCAATCTCTTTATTCTTGCCTACGATCATCAAGGAGATGGGCTATTCCAACGATACTGCCCAGCTCATGACTGTTCCGGTTTATGTTGTGGCCTGCTTCTGCACTGTTGCTGGCAACTACGCCTCTGATAAGATAGGCCGACGCGGTATATTTGTTTTGGGGTTCGAAATTATCGCTATCATTGGGTTCGTGCTTTTGATTGCCACGGGAAAACCTCATGTTCAATATGCAGGAACTTTCTTTGCTACTTCAGGTCAGACTGCATATCTCGAGAAAAACACCACAACCACCAGCTAACAGTGGATTTTAGGAATATATTGTCTTTTTCCCATGGTTCTCTCATGGAACGGAAACAACATCGGCGGTAGTCTTAAGCGCGGAGTTGGTATTGCAATGCAGGTTGGGATCGGTAATCTTGGAGGCATTATTGCATCCTTTGTCTACCTAATCAAGGACGAGCCAAGGTAAGCCACACCATCCTACTCCACCACGCTTCCAGTCTTCACTTCAAGCTATTAACCGGACTTTAGATTCATTAATGGCCACGCCGTCCTAATAGCACTCATCTCCATGAGTCTCGTGCTAACCCTCTTCATGACCATCTACCTCGGGCGCGAAAACACACGCCGCGATGTCTTGCTTAGCCAGCAGAACCTTTCGCTTGAGAATGTTAGCGACGACGAGAAATACGTCCAACGCGAGAAGGGTGATGACGCCTCTTTCTTCCGATATACTGTCTAAATGATAATGAATGATTCGAGTTTCATATTTTCTGATACGATGAGTGGCGAAAATGTTTAGAATTTGGGATGACATATGGTGGCGCAAGTACTTGTTTGACTGCGTGGCAGATATATGAAATGACTTCACATACTGGTCTGGAAAGTTAAATCTGGGAGATAGAGCGATATGTATTCGTGGTTTTACATCACATTCTGTGACTTTAGATCAGTGGGCGTATATTAGATGATAAATAAAGACCATGTTTCGATCTTCTCTATGTCTTTACTATTTTCCTGTCTTTTATACATACGTGTACTTTTTACAACCTGTTTGTTTACTTTCATCTCCCCACCGTCAGTCATATAAAACTGTAAGTAGGTGAATTCTATGAATCGATAACATCTGTGATCGAATAGAACTAGAATATGTTTCTTCCTCCTATATCAAGGATACCTTACTCGCATGATATTTAAGAGTATATATTTCCACTCTGTGGCATAGTTCCTGTGGCATAGTTCCTCTGCCCCGTCCCACCTTCGGGATTATCGAGGACCCCGAGGTGATGATCCCCAACTTCAGTTGGCCATTCTCTAATGCGCGGGACTCTTTTCGTTCCCTAAAAATAAGTGAACAAACATTAGGATACGTCATATGACCCTAAGTATTTACAGTTCAGGAAAAATGATTGAATCTATTGCTGTCAAAGAAGCAATGGTTATCAAGTAAGATGCTTCATTCAAATCTTTCTGGTAGAGACACTAAGAGCCTAAGTATTACACTTCCTAAAGAAAGTTTCCTCTAGAATAAATCCGATGCTTCCTCTGCTTAGTAACCTTCCAACTTGTCAGAATCTCATCCACCAGCTTGCAATGTAAACACTGGACGGTCTCTTGCTTTAGATCCCTGATTTACATTTTACTTTAACGCTCTTCCCTTTAATAGTAGTATCGAGCGTCGGTTTCATACTCTGCCTGCATATACATACTCAAAGAATATCAACCAGAAGGTTCCTTCCGCGCCAGAGTTAATATGTCGAAGTGGAATAAAATACGAAATCCGAATTTTCCCGCATAAGTGTAGTAGTGAATTCTAGATTTACTCCCCGGCGAGTAAATTGATGTGAAATTTTTAGACTGACCTACCTCGAGCTTCATCGTCTTGCTAATAGCATCATGTAATTTCGCAAGCAATAACGCTTACACACAGCGCGATAAATGTGTTTCAAATGCCACTAATAGCCAGCATCCGAGTGCATATGCGGACGGGAATCTCTGCATGAATTCTTTCGCGAACGTGCAGCCGAACTGAACGCTGCAGCAACACCTAACGGCAATAGGCAACTAGCAGCGGAAGGTTCATATAGAGGATCTCGAAGGGCGTATCCTCATATTTGCTAAACGATATTGACAAGCACTAGTCCTATCTAGGAAAAGACTCTCGCTTCGCATCTCAGGGGCAAATCCTAACGTGCGCCCTTAACTAGATCGATCACTTGAAGACGTGACATGACCAGGCAATCCAGCTACACAAGATTTATAAGAACACATTACATAATCGATCACGAACATTGCGACCCTGTATATATAAAGTCGCTTTATTTCCTCGACACAAGACCCCAACTCAAAATCCCAAATCCAACCCCCCAACTCTGACTTAGACCCCAGCCCTTAAATATGTCCACTACCCATCCCCGCCCTAAAGCCCTCTTCTTTGACTTCATGGGCACCTGTCTCGACTGGCACACCAGCATCGTTTCCGGCTTCTCCACAACCAACTCCCCGTCCCCCATCCGCGGTCCCGCCGCCTCAGAAATAGCCATGGCCTGGCGCCTCGGCTACTTTGCAGCGCGCCGCGCTCGCAGCGATGCAGGGCTTGCCGTCGAGGATATCGATATCACGCACCGGCGAGTCCTGGATCAACTGCTGGAGGAGAGGGGGTTTGGGTATGAGAGTTGGAGCGAGGGGGCTAGGCGGGAGATGGTGGCGAGGTGGCATGAGCAGAAAGGTATGTATGTATGTATATTGAGTCGTGTGGTGGCAGTATCGGTGAAGTGAATCCGGGATGAGAATTAAAGCTGATTGTGGTGGTTTTGATAGCGTGGCCGGATGTAGCACCTGCGCTGGAGAGATTGAGGGGGAAGTTTGATCTGTAAGTATACCTTCCGCGCGCCCACAACGAAAAATGGAAATATAATGGAGGGTCAGTGTCGTTCACGCAAACGGAACCACGCGGCTACAAATCGACCTTGTGAAATCCTCGCATCTGAATTTCGACGCGGTGCTTTCTTCAGAATTACTGGAAGTCGCGAAGCCTGAGCCGGAGATGTATGAGAAGGGCATGAGGCTGCTGAAGTTGAAACCAGAGGAGTGTATGACTGTTGCGGCGCATTATTATGATGTAGTTGGGGCGAAGAATGTGTAAGTGTCCTGTTCTTCCCCTTCTGCTTACTTGAGTTTCGAAATTGGAAATTTTTGAAATTTGGGCTATTATAAGAGGAATTACGGCTGCGGTACTGATGTTGATTATCGGTTGTAGGGGTATGCAAACTGCGTATATCAGGCGAGACACGGAAGATCCAGAGGAGGATATGGAGGAGGTGGAGAGGGAGATTGACCATTTCTTTGATGGGACAGGCGGTGGGGTGGAGGTCGGGTTGAGTAAGCTTGCGGATTTTCTATTGAGTTTAGAAAATTAAGAAACCCAGGTTACGTTTAGAAGTGGAAGCGTTATCTCTACAGTCGATCGGCACACATTTTTTCCATCTAGGTGCTAAATATAGATATAGGTATAGTAGTCATGTGATTAAGTCGACTTGAGTATTATTTGAGTATACCCAACTCAACTTAACTTAGGTAAGGCTGGATTTTGTAGACACGCTGTCAGCCTCCCATGCCAATTATATACCCAAAGTCTAAACTGCCATAGTCTCAACATGCTCGCTGCTTTTAGCTCTTCATACATCCATCCACAAGGCCATCATAGAATCAAGCAGCAAAATTATCCCTCACGCGCTGTGCAACACTAGTAGCAGCATAACCGAACGGCTGTCGACACATCGGACACGTACTCGCATTACTGCTCGCGAACCACTTGAACAGACAATTCGCATGGAATAGATTCTTGCAGGTCTGGCAGCGTTTATCGGGCATGCGCTTGTCGGAGGAAATGATGGAGTAACAGATTGAACATTCGGTTTGTCCTTTCAAGGCTGCGAATATGTTCTTTTTGAAGACTGTGAGGCCATCGGCAACGGTGCCGTTCTGTCGATATGCCAGTTAGTAAAACGGGGTGAGTAATGGCGGAAGGCGTGGGATTGGAACTTACGTTGAACATTGTAGCACCTTGGATAGTCCGCATCCAGCCGTTCCAGGTTGATTCTTTGACTGCTACTCTGTTGACGCCTTTTACATCCACTCTGTCGAGAGGGTAATTGCTTGGCAAGATCATGACAATCGACATCATCAACTCGTCGATCTCATAGCCAACTGTGATATTTGGTGAATTCCTCGAGACCCTAACGATGAGTTTCTTCTCATCGTCTGAGACTTCTTGTGCTTCATCCCACTTCGTTGCGACGTCCTTGGCGTCCGAGATTAAAGAAGGAGAGAAGTATTTTTCAGTCCAGGTGCTGACGGCAAGGGTGGTTTGCTTGGATTTCAGAGCGAGAAACCAAGTCTTCGCTAGATCTGGTGTATATTTCAAGCACATGAACCAAATGTTCACAAGAAGCCACTGCATATCACGCTCTGGGTCTGTGTCAACCATAGGGTCCCAAAGGTCGTAACCCCACGTCGTATTTGTAAATCCCCATCTCTCCAAATCAAGAGGTGCGCCAGCAGAGTGCCCCATTACGTCAAACAGAAAGACCAGAAGCGGATCGATCACCTGCTCTGTCTTGAGTATCTCGGCATAATCATTCCGGACCTTCAAGGAAGCGTTCGAGAATGAAAAGTAGACAAGATACCATGACAGCAAATAGCATCTGATATCTGTTGGAAATTCTCGTAATTGTCCGTCTGAGTAAGTGCCAAAAGATGGTGAGTTGAGGAGTAACGATAACAGCTCATCAGGAAGTCGTGCATCTGTTCGCATGTCAGCATGTATCTAGAGTTCCACCTGGTACTATTTACCTCTCTTTTCAAGGAGGACATCAACCGACAATTGTTGCTGAACCGAGGGAATACCACTCTGGAGCATATGAAACGCAGCCGATTGCAGCTTCCTATTGTCTGACGACAGCACCAAGTAGAAGTCTGACAGGTCTTGCAAGTCGTCAGTAGAAATCTCCCGCAGCTCTCTCAGTAAAATAGTATCCACAAATTCTAAAGGCTTATGATTCATGGGTCTTTGTAGCTTCAGCAAATGAACCAAGCCCAGGGAGATTCTGTTGCGGTTGCTGGACAAGGCTTCCAGCAAATCATCATTCGGTTCTTGAATCTTCCGCAGCACCGAGTATAGCTTCAGTGACATTCCGACCATGGGTATAATGTCATCAGTGAGCTCGCCATTCACATCGGATTCCCATATAGATATGCAGAATTCAAGAGCTGTTTCCCAATATGTGCCGTAGACATCTTTGATAGCAGGTAAAAGTCGTTGCAAGGCATGGCAAGCTTCAGAAGCAAGTCGGCTGTCAGTGCTAGCAAGATCCTCAGACCAAGAAAGGATTTGCCTGACAGCGAACACGAGACGGTTGGTAGAGACAGGTATTACATCTTCCTCTTCATCATATACGGCCAAGGCAGTATTAAGAAGCACAAGTGACCCAAGCGTCTTCTCTGACTGAGGTGATGCATCCACGATTGCGCTAACCAACTTGTTGCATAAATTGCTGGCAACCTTGCTTTTTGCAAGATTGGTGTTGAAACCAGAGAGAATCCCGATATTCGCAAGTGTATCCTTTGTCTCCAATAGCACGACGCCTGACTCGGTCAAGTTGGCATCACAGTCGGCAATACTGCATTTATGAGCATCCAAAACACGTGTCAGCAAGTGATTGAGTGCCTTAGAAGCATAGTAAGCACTTGGTGAGGTGGAACGTGCACTTTCAATCAAGTTGGCGCTTAAAGATTTTACCACACGGCCCATATCACCATCAGGATTCGCTGTATTCTGGGGTTTCCATCTATGGGCCTTGATGATCTCAGGAGATAGGAATTTGCTAAAAACAAGATCACTTGTTGCGTCGTAATCCATAACGCCTTCTGGTAACCTTCCATCCGGGAAGAGTTCAATTCGATCGCTTAACAGCTCAACAGTAAGGAGAAGAGAATGCAGAAGTTCTACGAGCAATATTTTTGGCAGACATGTGACAATATCCATATCATCAACCAACTTTGACGTATAGCGCGCCATTCGAACCAGGACTGAGAAAGGTAGTGCTTCTGTTGCAACTGTTAATGTTCCGTCCACAAGTGGAGGTGCAGCCAGGAAAGCGGCTCCGGCCATTGGTCTCATAACTCCGAGTGCAGGATTTGGGGGCAGATTTAAGGGGGCTTTCAAAGCTTCGGACCATTTCTGAACGTCCGGGAAGAAATCCACAGCCGACACAGAATCGCCAGAAGATTCTCTTACAATCGTGGCTTGAGATACTAGTGTGTCAATGCTGTGCAAGCAAAGTCAGCGAAAAATATACAACATATCTCAGGGGTAAACTTACAACAATAATCGTGGGTCCTCCGAGTCAAGTTCGAGGTTATTCCGTATGAGGCGGAGCATGAAGTTCTGCTCTGTAGGCCCGGTCGACGGTCTTATTTTATCGACGTCAGATTTCAACTTTAGGGCTCGAGGAGCGATCTCGTCGTCCGAAGTCTCAATGAGACCCAGCAAAATGGTGTTCAATTCCATCTGAGTATCTTGGTCTTGATATAATAATCTTGGTCTCTTCACAGAGATGCATTCCAGAGTTTTGAGCGCCACCTCAGACCTTTCCGAAAGAACATCGTAATTCTTTGGATTAAGATGACGGAGAAGTTCTTGAATAAGTGCAGATACCGAAGTATCTGCAAAACAGTCAAACTGTATTGCTGTCTCAACCAAGGACCGAGCATCGGATTCCCCTTGCAGTGATCTTGTGTTAGCATCCAGGAGTAAAGTTTGAAGCCCGTGGTGCGCACGAGAAAGCTTCGCTGCCGAGTCATACTCAATCAGTCCTTTGAGTACCACAAACGTGCTGTTTCGGGGTCGGACATCGACCAGGTAATTGATTGTAGCCTCCCAGCACTTCTCAAATGTGGCAAGCTGGTTTGGTAGGTGTCCGAAAATAGGTAAGAGTGATACCAAATGGCGGGAGGAAGGAGACAAAATCAGCCTAGGAATATGATATACCACTAATGTTCTCATAGAATCTTTGGTTTCGTCATCTACCAATACTGGTGCAAATCGAAGGACCATTTCTACTATCGCAGCCGCCGAGTATGCCTTTCCATCCTCGCTAATGATCGTTTCAATAGCGGCTATGAATACTTGTCTGGACGGAATTACAATTTTATCAGCGTGGTCCTGTGAGCTGTTCGGCCTTAAAATATCTGCTAGCAGAACAAACCAGCGGTGACCCATCTGGATTATGTGCCGTTGATTTTTAACGTGTTGTTCGGCATCTTCGGTTGCGACCTCGAGAGACTTCCGAATTTGTTGTGCAAGCGAGTTGGAAAATGAGGTGAGATGCTCCAGTAGACATTCTTCTGAGCCGCCAAGGTTCGTGTTTGATAGGAGGATATAGTAGGCTTCAGCGAGTGCCGAAGTTGGAACCAATATTTCGCCCGAAAAATATTCGTCAAACAATCTCACGATCCTGTCCTTCACCACTGCATTCTGATCCTTGACATCAGGTATGTTTTTAACAAGGACACTAGCTATGTCGAAATAACTCGACCATGCCTGCGCGAGGTGTTGCCTGGGTTCCCCCTCGATCCCTTTTTTCAAAGATGCCAGGAAATCAAGGGCAGCATCTGCTTTTGAGGGCAGAATCTTGGAAGGTAAGCGATGAACGAGTAATTGCAGGGATGACCAATATTTAGGAGGACAGCTATGAGAACCCTTTTTGACAAAACGGCGCAAGATATCAAATGATGAAGGAAACTTCTCCTTCGAAACTCTGTAGGGACCATCCCATACTTTTGGATGTCGAACCGTCAGCTTCTCCAGAGTTTGTAAGAGTAGCAAAGCAGTCGTTGATTGGGATTCTCGTAAGGCCGACGCGATGTATCCGGTGCTAATTGATTCAATCTTTTGCATCACGATATTTGGTTGCTTCTCCAAGCATGCCACCAACATGTTGCAAGCAACCCTACGGAGAGAAGAATCCGGGGAAGCAGCATAATACCAAATGCTTTTGTCGCTGAAGTATGCCTCGTACGTACTTTGGCAAGCAGTGATGTCTTCCACCTTCAACTTGAGGAGTAGGTTCGTCACCAGCGACAAGCTAGAGCATTGGACTCGATAGAACACCTCCATCGAGTCGTCGGACGCTGTGTTTCGCTCATCACTAAGAGTCGCAGAGGTCTCCTGGCTGGCTTCTTGGGCATATTCAAGGATTTGAGGTTGGCCACGCTTCCAGAACTGGGTCATCTTTTCGTCAGTGTCAAGAAAAGTCTCAATCCCCAGCTGCGCGGCTCGTGAAACAAGAGTATCCTTATCATAACATCCAGCAAGCCATGTCCCTATTATCCGAGGAATATACTTCACCATTCGTTTTCCAGCAGCCTTGAGGAGGGCGGCTTGCAGGCTGTGAGAGGCTTCGCGAACACGGCGGTCATTCGCAATGGATAGTCGGGGGTAGAAGTGGACCTGATACTACATTAATATGACATGATCACTCCAAAGTCCAACACGATGAGGTTCTTACCCAGGCTTCTAGGACCGGGTTTTCTACCCCACCATTCTCCAAAGCACTTTGTTCTTCGACATAAGCGGTGATGGTATTCAAGCTTCTTAACTTGGTCGTAGTGTCTGGCTTACGGAGGCCTCTGAAGGCGACAATCAAATTCGGATCAGAAATCGAAGTGAGGTTTGGTAATTCGACGAGGTACGACAATTTGCTTGCTGCTGCGGTGCTTCCAAAGGCGCCAAATCCTGTGCTGGGTGCAAAGGCGGCTCGACTGCTGGATGCCGTAGTCTTGAACTGGTTTTTACTCATCGCAAATGATCTGCGGATCGCGTTATAGGTCGATAGTCCGCAAGGCTGTAGAGCTGGGCTCAGGGAGAACAGTCCATGGTTTTCCTAGCACGAGCACATCCCATTAAAACAATTCGCGCTTGCAATAGCGGGTCGGTCGGGAGCTTGAGAAGAGAAGGAGCTTGATGAAGGAGAATAGAAAAGACAGCAGTGTTTGGGTGAGAGTGAGCGGTAGTTGTATTGAGAGGGCAAAAGGAGCTCTTGATTGTAAATTATTTACTTACTTCACTCCTTCGTCCCACCACCAAATGATGACGATTTTCTTCAAAGAGACTAGCCTCCCGCTGCCCTTTATGCCACTACCCGCCGCTTTACATGGTGGTGAGGGTTGTGGTGGTCTTATATATCAGGCCTCCAGAGCCCGGACTCAGGGAGCATGGCGGCAAGCATGTCCCCGACGGGTGCAGCCGGGAGACTTTACCCCGCATGCTGATAACCCCATGGTACCAGAGTAAAGGTACTTGTATCTCTTCACCTTCACCTTCACCTTCCTTCATCCTTAGCATTCACACACCAGTCATTCTTTCATTCTCTTCTTGCAATTCCTATCATCCTAGAAGTTTGCAATACTACCACAGAGCATCAGCTTCTGCAGAGCTTTATCCGAAGTATCATCGCATCGTATATCAATCAATTACACTTACTCGTAGTTGATCAACAGATCACCCCACGCACGCCCGCACGCAATACTCGAGCACAACGTCAACGCTACTTTCTGCATGCGGGTTTGGTTGTCTCACCAGCACATTGCCATTAAAATTGTAAAAGGCGGAGTAGAAGGCATGTACTGATTACTCCAAGCTGGTGTACCTTCCTTTCCCTAACCAACGCCGCATAGGACTACTATGAAACAACGCCCATAACCCAAGATGCTACCATCACATATCACAATCGTCGCACAGACTTCCATCCTCCCCGCGAACTCTATGGCTCTCTCTACAACGGCTCTGCGGTCTGCCGGAACTCTGTCCGGCAGACCTCGGCCTAGTCAACAAACTCGTTCGTTTCGATTTGGAGTCTGGTCGTCATACCTTGATCAGAATTTCCAGAAAGAACTGCAACGTCGACATATAAATATGGGGGATAAATATATTGAAGTTCTGAATCGAAAGAAGCTGCCATGGGATCGCCAACTTCCCGACTACGCAAAGAACGTTGGCCTCAAGAGCTTTATGTGCAGTGCCAAACTAGGTCCATGGGTCAGCAACGATCTTCTGGATGATATGAATAATAAAGGGAAGCCGGGAAAGCATCCCAGAAGCGAGGAAGTCGAAACAAATGTTTTTGAGAAAGTCTTTGGCAGGAAAGAAGCAGATTTTATCCAAGGCAAATCTCGAACTCGCCGTCTGAGACATGGGCATGCTGGATTTCCCTTCGACCGAGTCCACGACTCTTCCTTGTCCAATTTTTTGGATGGGGAAAAGGGGAGGTCTGACAACCACGCTCGAAATCAGGGCAACTCTCCTTCGTATGAAGAATACGAAATTGACCCAATCACAAACCGCAAAGTCTACAAGAACCCTACGAATCAAGCATACGAAATTGACCCAATCACAAACCGGAAAGTCTACAAGAACTCTACGAATACCACCGACTCAAACCACCGTAAGCCAATTGAGGTTCCGGTGAAGACATTCAAGGGTTACAGGTCACAATTTTCTAATTTGGAACCTCCAACCGGCACCACGGAATCATCTCAAAATGGGGAGCCTCAAGATCTCTCTGGCACCCCCCAACATCGCGAACACGACATTCCAACGAAAGCGAAGTCCAAAGAATACGATGCACAGACGTTTTATGACCAGCCATTTGCACCTTACGGAAAGAATTTCAAGAAAGTCGAGTCGGTGCAGGATGGTCTTGATCCGTATGAGACGAAGATGTCTTATTTGAAGTCTTCCATGGCCTATCAACCCGATGGAAATCTGTCAGTAGAAGCGACCCCGGATCCAGTAAATGAAGGTTATAAGGCTTATGACTCTGAAATGTCATATGATAAACCATTCCTTGCACACGAACCAGATGGAAAATATGCCACTCCCGAAGGAAGAGCCTCGGTTGATGACAAAGTCGAGTCATTCGACGCGAAGAAGTCGTATCTAAAGTCTTCCATGGCCTACGAACCCAAGAGCCAACTACCTGTGGAAGAGACTTCCGATCCAGTGGAGGAAGGTTATAAAGCTTATGATTCTCAGATGTCGTATGATAAACCTTTCATGGCTTATGAGCCCGATGGACAGCCTCCGAAGGAAGGAGAATCTGAAGCAGCATTCGAATCCGTCAAGGCATATGGGGCAGATAAACAGGCCCACACAGAATCAAATCCAGATCCAGACCGGGAGTTTTTGAAGGCATATGAAGCAAAGCACCCATATCCTGGTTCGCAAGCCGAGCTAAAGCGCTGGGATACCGAATCAAACAACCAAGATCTAGTGGGGGAAGGAATTAAAAGACACGATAGCGATCACTCCTACGAGCCAGCGTATTATAATGAACCTTTTGGAAAGCAGAAACGACCGATGACGGCTTCCGATGCTCAGAAGACCGCCAACCCCATACCAAATCAGGGGAGTTCTGCCAAGCTGATCTCCAGAAAAGATATATTGGATACTTCTTTTAAAAGGCAACAAGGTATTTCGAAAAGCACACTTTCGAGAGCTGAGGCCCGAGTCCCCCAACAGGTTTTGGAAGGGCTTAAAAGTCAAGCATTCAATGAGGAAAGTTTTGCGGATTCGAAGAAAGGGGAAGCCCTGGCGGGGAAACCTACAAATCAATCGGCTCAAAAGATGACGGGAAATTTTGTTCGTGATTTCCCCAATGTGTTTGAGGCGAAGTGGGCCCCTTCAAAGACTGGCTCTGGGGCTCTGGTTCCAGAGGAAATGGAGTCAAGCCAGCAGAGCCGCGGTCAATCTGTAAAGTCGACTCTAGAATCCCAAGAAGACATCGAGAATAAAATTCAAAACGCGGAGAAGGAATATGTCGATGGTGTTGTATCCAAACAATCATTCTCGCGAAGACCAGATACCCCGAGGCTTCAGACTTCTCTGGACCGTAACAATACCCATTCCAAAAGAAGCCCTAAGCCTTCTCAGAGCAGTGACTACGAGCCAGCGATGCACCAAGGTGAAGGTGATCTATCCGAGCTTGTGTCATCATACGGAGCCGCAAGGGAAGATTATTCTGGAGACCGATTAAGCTCTGCCACTCGAACTGAGGGCGGGAAGTCAGTTCAAGAACCCACGATCTACAAGATACTTTTCTATGATCCAACCATGCAAGAAGTGAACATCGCAGAGACAACATCAACCGTCCCCAACTCAACCTCCCCTCTAACCCCACCAGAAGTCCTCGAACGATTATCCAACCCCTCGAAATTCTTCCCCTATTTCGAGACCCTCCGGTCTCAAGGCTACGAAATCGTCTCCGGCAGTGGAGATATCCTCGTCTTCCACAAAGCCCACACATCAGCAAGCCAGCCTGCAGAGCTAAAGAGAAAATCCACCAATCCAATCGACGGTATGCAAACTAGCCCCGTTGCCGCGACTGGGAACTTCGCCAGTCCTACGGGATTCGTCAATCATGATCTTCCAACTCGCGCAGATCATCCGTTCAAATCCAATGTTGATGTACGACGCGAAGAGCCTGTTTTGAGTGGTAAGCGGAATTGGAATAATAAGGATGAGTCTCGTCGGCGGAAGACTCCAGGGGTAGGCAGACGGTTGATCACTGGTGCTGTTTGGGTCGGTGCGTGCGCGTACACGCTTGGTGTGGCTGCCGAGTACTTCAAGACTGGAGGAAGCGGTGGATTAGGACCTCGAGGGTTATAGTTGACTCAGATCGTGGGTGAGAGGCATGATTCTAGTTCATGCATCTCTTTGTCAAATATTTGATTTAGCATAGGTGTTATGTCAACTTGGGGAATCAGGCTAGCGGAGGGCGGGCATATTTGAGTGAGACATCACGCTGGTTTGTCCTTGTTTTTATGGATGGGAATAGGAGTTGATACGGTGGCAGGTTTCTCTGGTAGCTTGCTGTTTTCCTCTTACCCCTCTCTAGCTTATGACAGGTAGATGAATTCAACTCTATATCACTAGCCTTCGGAACGTTTACGTAAAGGAAACAAAAGCAAGATTGGACAGCATAAGGTAGATATCCATGGTAGGTATTCGTTTATTGATAGATTTACGTGAAAGCCAGGGACTTCTCCCTCACAGTGACCTTGTATATGTAATCCCTACCCGTCAAGAACCAAGTCCCAGTGCCAGGAATCGACTCAACATTATATATAATGTCATCCACAGCATTGATCTTCCCCAACAACACGCCAGTGCTAGGATTAACAACATCAGCTCCTCCCAAAACAGCAATAATCAGAAGCCCATTCTCCGTAACCCGGAGTCCATCCGGCCACCCGGTTTCCGTCACGTAGACAAGCCTCGGATTGCTGATACTTGGAGCCAGACCCTTCTTGACATCGAAAGCCCAGATGTTCCGCTGGCTTTCCAGCGTACTCTGCATTGGACGACGGGACGACGAGTTGGAGTCCGTGACGTAGAGAATCGATTCATCAGCCGACAACGCGAGGCCGTTCGGCACAAGCGCGACGGAGTTGGAGAGCGCGACGAGAGCCTTCGAGGTGCTGTTGAAGAAATAGATGGAGTTTGGGAGCTCGGGGGCTTGGACCCCAGGCCAGCCCGTGTACCACCCGTATGCTGGGTCGGTGAACCACAGATTGGATCTTGAATCGACGACGATGTCGTTGGGGCTGTTGAGGTGGCGACCGCGGTAGTTGTTCACGATGGGGGCGTTGTTGCCGGTCTTCGGATCGAGGGTGTGGATTCCGCGGACTGAGTTGCCGTCGGTGAGGAAATAGAGCTTGCCGTTTCGGTGTGTGCCTCCGTTGACGTTCCAGAGTGGGGGGTTGGTCGTGATATTGCGTGTCTAAGAGCAAACCAAAGCATCAATCAATCAACTACTTATAACAACATATTAATCTTGAAAAGAAAGAAAACGGGCAAAATTAACTTACTTTATAAGTATCTACATTAATCGCCCATAGCCACCCCAAAGCAGACGTATCCGCGAACAAAAGCTCATTCGTCTCTGGTACATATACAGGCGCTTCATGCACGTGCCCCTCCCCTCAGGAAAGCCCAGAATCTGCTCAACGCTCGCATGAGCTCCGATGAAGTCGAAGAACGCCGGATCCCAAGCGATGAAGTCCGCAGCCTTGATCGCCTTCAGCGCTTGTCCGAATGCGGGGTCATCTGTTTGGATATCATAGAATGCCGTTTCTGCAGCAAAGTAAATGCGTTAATCATAGTTCAAGGGAAACGAAAATCATATGAAGAGATTACTTGGGCTTGGGCAGGGAAAACCTACCAATACCCCCACTATCCCACTCTCCTGGGATAACAGCTAAGTTGTCCTGTAATAATACGGCGGATACGTCGACGTAGGCAGCGGGTAGGGGACTGAGGTAGGTGTTGTTGCTCTGTATGGCTATGTCGCCTTGCAATGGGCTAGAGGCAAGGCCCATTGCGAACTGGACGAGTTGTGAAAAGGCCATTTTTCTTTTGGTGTTTTTGAAGTTTTTGATATTTTACTTGCTTTGTCGTATGGTATACCATCCAAGGATCTCCATATTTCTTGCTTTAGTGCGTGCTCCTCATTTGAGGGGTATATTATAGCGCGTCCCCGCTTTGCTCGGGCCTCCCTGGGGTGGGGTAATAAAACCCGTTGAATTTAAATACTCCGTAAGGTAAGGATCTTAGTGTTGTTATTTCCGAGGCTATAAATGGATCTTACAGGCCTTACGAGATTGAAGATTCTATTGATTGTATATATAGACCCAGACGTGGACCAATAAGCATTTGTATAGCTTTATGTTTACTCTAGATTTAAGTCACCAGGTTTAGCCTATGCTTTATACTAGTCACTGAAGAGTAGTCACATTTAAAAAGTATTAATCTAAGAATAACAGCAAAGCTATCCTTGTGAAGTGCATTAGATATCCTGGCAGGTAAGCTATTTTTGGTTGCTTCGCGGGATCCGTGTGTATTACGAGTTACTGTAAAGAAAGTTCAGGGGCTTAAGCGAGATTTTGTACAAACCTGCACTTGCAAACTCCTACAATAGTAGTTTTGCAGCCTTAGGGCGTCGCGACCGGAGGAAAATTGGGAACGAAAGTAACCAGTTATCAATATCACGCGGGAGAAGACCTTAATATAATCACATGCATAACGAGTTAATGTTTAACAGAAGACAAGGCATTCATTGTGTCTAACCCTCGCTTCGAAGCCTTGGAATCAATCCAAGCCAAGGCAGTCTACATATAAGAATACAAGCAAAATTATATATACAAGAAGCAAAAAACACACAGCGTGTTATTTTGTAAAGAACCCAGAGGGATACTTTGAATGAGATGTCATATCTCATATCTTTTTACTGGGCAGGAGGAGCGAAGCGAGAGCTGTCCGGGAAGGCGCCACCAGTAGGGAAAGCACCACCAGTAGGCCTCACACCTGATGGCTTAGCACCGGAGAAATGAGGACGTCCGCTCTCTTGAGCTCCACCGACAAACTTCACACCAGTTGGCTTTGGGAAACCGGTGCCTTCAGAGTGGTGAGGGCGTCCAGATCCTTGAGGTTCAGCGCGGCGCAATACACCAGTTGGCTTTGAGAAACCAGCACCAGTGCCGTGACCGTGGTGGTGGTGTGGTGCGCCAGTCCCCTGGGCAGCGGCCTTTCCAACCCGACCTGGTAGACCTGTTGGTTGAGCACAGCCAGCTCCAGTGCCGTGGGGGAAACCACCAGTGGGTATGATGTGTACACCGGAGAACTTATCGGCTTCTTGACGGCGGACAATATCGCGAGCGTGGGCACGACGAGCGATTGTGCTGCCGTCATACTCGGTGTCCTTGTGTGTGCTGTAGAATGAGGAAACCCACGACAGGAGGTTGTTGAGGGTTGTACCTTCTGGGATGGTGGCGTCGCTGGATGCGGATGAGGAAGAGCTGGCGGACGCCTGGGCTGATGAGGCTGCTTGGACTGAGGCAGATGTTGGAACGGTGCTGGTCGTTGCGATAGTCACCGAGTTGGCAAAAGTTGCAGAGACAGCCGATGAAGTCGCGATTTGTCTAATTGGTGTGCGGGAGGAGCTAGTGATGGCGCCTGATACCTGGGACTTGGACTTGGATTTGCATGCGGACTTGGATTTCGAAGCAGTAGCTGTGCCGTTGGAGTATAGGGCACCAGAAGCCACTGGCTTGGAAGTAATACCCGACGAAGGGCTTGATGCGACCTTGGTCGCTGCTCCTGCAGCGGACGAAGATGCGGCAACTGCAGCGGATGTGGTGACAGCACCGGCTGAGCTGGAAGCAGAAGCAACCGAGGCAGCAGAGGTAGCAGAGGTAGCAGAGGCAGCAGAGGCAGCAGCAGTTTGCGACGCTGAGATGGCTCCTGAGTAGAGAGTTGGGCCAGGGACAACGTAGGTGCTAAGAGACTGGTAAATGTTGATTGAGATACCAGCATCACTAGGAGTGTACAGAGACGTGCCCAAGACTCCCGAAGGAGTGGCGGTTCCGGAGCCAGTGACCTCAAGGTTGACGCACTGAGGGTAGTTTTGGGCGCCATCAGCGTTATCAGCCGAGTGGAGAGCGATGATTTCGTGACGGAGAACGTAGTTTCCTGGTGCGATATCCGTTGGGATTGCAACAGTCCAGGAGTTGTTGTTAGCGATCAAGGTATCGGTGGCCCAGTTGCCTGGGATTGTGGTATCGTCAATGAGTCCTACTCCGTCGATCTTGAAAAACTCCAAGGTGGTCTTATCAACAGTCTTGCAATCACCGTTGCAGTTTGCGAGGTAATCTATTCGGGCTGTCAGCAGATGATGAAATGGTTATGGCACTGTTCATACCAATGACTGGGCCGTGGTGAGATGAAGGCCAGGCAGACCATTGCAACTCGACTGATCCACCAGCCTTGACAGTTGCTGAGGTCTGAGCATTGGTAGCACCGAGATGACAGATGATTTCGGAGGTTGTGTAGTTGTTGGGATCAATAAAGCCGTTGCTTAGGTCCTCTGGGGTAGACCACCCAACGACTACAGGTTGGACTGCCTCATATTGGTAGTTGGCGTGGTATCCATCATAGTAGACTCCATCAGCCACTATGCCAGTGACAGTTCCATGCGCGGCGACTCTTGATACAAATGCGAGAGCGCCAGAGATGGCTGTGATCTTGGAAAAAGACATGGTAAAAGTAAAGGATTGAGTGAGTTCTTCGCGCTGCGGCTGCTGGTAGTGTTTGCTTCGAGAATACAATGAGAATATCAACCAGCTTCAATCAATGAAGAGAGATATTCAAAAGGTGAAAAGAATGTGAGAGATCTGTAAAGAACGTGATTCAAAAGAATGAAAGTGCTGATGATAGAGAAAGACAGAGGGAAGTCACTCTGTTATATACAAACCTTAAGATGAAGTACAGCCTGATGGATAGCTACTGGTGGGGTTTCTTGAGACGGAGACTCGGGTGGTAGTACCCGCCCTTGTACGATCTAAAGACTTATGGATCCCTTCACCAGTAACCCGCGTAGCTTTGTATAGACTATTGCCTGGTCCGGTCTGGAATTCCAGCGTCTGTCAACCATTTTGTTGGCTCCAGGGATGCGAGTGGGGTCGAAGTGGAGGCTGAACAAGGATCCGTACCAAACTACTAGAGTTTATTTCAGCAGATAGATGAAAAAGCACCAAGATCTGATGTCCGTTTTGTGTTTTAAGGAGTACCGAGGAGCCTTTAGTTGGAATCTAGCCCAATTTATCTCACGTCAAATGCCAGCCATGTTTTTTGCAAAAGCCCACTCGTGAGCATGGGCCCATACACTAGTTCTTGGGACTACAAAATTAGGCACAGGTTTGCCGACGGAATAATTTGTTTGAAACAAGGCTGAAAGCTCTGGGTGCCAAATCTTCACTAAAATATTTCCAGCCGCTGAAATCTTCGGATGATCCACAGAAGACTTTGGTAGCGACGATGCCCCTGAGCTCATATCAATTTACTTGGTGCTTGTGATTGGATGCCAATCGAAACAGAGCATGGCATGGGCCGCATAGCATGTTGAACACGCGCTTGAAGGCCGAGACTTCGGAAATAGGTTTCGAATATCGAATCGCCGCAGCGGCGAGGTCGTTGAGTGGTTGAGAAGGTAATGGAGAGTCGAGACGGATGAAATCATTCGAATTGAGTGAAGGAAGTCTCTCCCGAACTAAAATTCTCTATCATCCGTGAAACCCAGAGTCACAGACTAAACGCTCCTACGAAAGGGCCTTAAAGCCATATTACTTTTGCTTGGCTATTGTGAAAAGGGTGACGCGGTGGAGTGGTGTAAGTGGTGGGGGTTCTTGAAAGGAGTGGAACTGAAACGAATGTGGAGATTTTTGGTCGGATATTGCATTAGTCAGCAAATAGCGAAAACCACTAGAACCCTCACTTCACTTCACCTTATATGATGCAAACACGCAACCACATAAGTCCAACAATGTTCTAAAGTTCTAACAAAATACATGAGTCAGCCACTTCTCCAGACTACATCAAAGGCAGCCGAACTTCTTTGAGATGTACAATATAGTAATATATCCTTTTGCTGTTTAGCACTATGTTGCTTTTGAAAAAACACATTTTCTTGTGTCCTTGTTTGTCTTCTTCATACACGAGCCAATACAGTCATCTCTCAGCTTTTTCTGCCAACTCGAGAGCTTATATGTCAGTCATTTCTGCGCCTTGAGGAACGGCCCCTAAAGCTGCACTTGTCAGTTCGTATGTGTTCCCAATACGATATCGTCGTCAGGACCTGCGGTGGAGGAGCCATCTTTTTTGATACCGGCGTGTTAAGCATATCTCTTTTTTCCATCTAGGGTTGCGCAATTTTTATATCTTTCATATAGTTTTCTTCCTTGGATTTTAACATTGCCACTGTATATCCGGAATTAGCTGGCTGTCATGCCTCCGTCAATTTGGTTAATAGTAGGTTTTGCTAGGTCTAAACATATGTTAAAATAAGGATATTATATCTCAAAAACAATTCACTGGCGGAGTGGAGTATCATGGATGGCTCGACGGAAAATTCGAAAGAAACAAGTTCTGAGAATCACCAGCACCGTTAGGATTTATCCAGTGCGCTCTGAAGGGTTGTGAGCGGCATGATATTCCCAAATCAAAAAATAAAATAAAAAACTTACAGTTAAGGCATCTGCAAAATTGTCCCTATCAATTTTTTTAATTTTTTTTGCTCTTCCAAACCCGTAGCGGATAATTGCTAGGCATTTATAACTGTTTGGATGCTATAAATCAATGCCTATTTACACTGCTATGGTTCTCTACTCTTGATGTTACAGATTCCTATTATGACCTAAAGATAGATAGCTGAAGGTGTGTGGTACAATCTGACAGCAACCATAAAAGGGAATGGTGCACTCCTAGATCATTCCACAAGATCCATATCAAGCAGCCTATGGCTTCGTATTGAATCGCTTTTGATTCACCCACGAAGGCGTACTGCTCCAGGTAATCTTATATAACTATTATAAGCTGGACTTCATGATTCTAATAGGGACGCAGACCCAGATCGGTATCAGGATCTAGACAAGCAGCTTAAGCTTAATAACCAATTCTTGAAACTGGACGAAGCGAGGAAGAGATGGAAACAATTGTGAGCTATATATGAAGATATAGATAAGATCACGACAGCATAGGAGAGAATCTGGCAGATGTTGAGATTGAGGGCCCGAGTCTGAGATACTACTGGAAAAGCTTCTGGTCACCAATGCGCGGATATGCGGTACCTTTAGTAGGTATGTTCTCCTGTTTCATTCTACTTTTAATATCCTTCCTTTTATTTTAACTCGTATGGGATTTTACGGCCTTCCTATAAAAGGACCGTCAATTATGAACGCCTAAGTTTACCAGACATGAACAGCGGCAGTTATTCTCATCGATTTTCAATGTCCCACGCTACCTAGCATATTGTAAATGGGTACCGCTCTTTCTATTCATCGCGAGACATGTTCTTTTGTGGAGATGGCCGTAAAACATTGTAGGAGATAAGAACTCTAGATGATAAGTAATAAATGGTATTCTAACTCCAAAACAATCATCAATCATGACCGACGCAGTCTCCTGCATTTCCAATCTCAATTCGACTTTCCTCTGCTAAACATATCATGACTTCATCCACCCCTCAAACAGCTGTATTCCCACCCGACCCATGTCCCCCAATTTTCCCCAAAGACCAATGATGATGCTGCTTCTCGCCAACCTTCATGAACCCACTGCCCCCATCTTCCTCTCCCACCACCTCCGTAAAGCCCTTCTCCTCACCCTCCAGCGCCTTCGAAGTCGCGGGATCGAGTTCCCCGGCATAGAACCTCCGCTTCAGATCTTCCTGGTTCCAGCTCTGCGTGCGCCCCATGTTCGGCTTCCATGTCTCGATCGAGCTCTTGAGGATCTCGCCTCTGGAGTTGCGCCGACCGTCGGAGGTGGGGATGGGTGGGAGGGTCGAAGGTGAGGTGTCGGAGGTTGGGTGGTGTGTGGGGATGTTGTGAGGTGCGGTGGTTGTCTTTGGATGTTCAATTGTACATCGTGCTTGCTCAGAAGTATGTGTTGCCATTGTTACTGTTTGATCCGTAGGTAAATGTTTATTTGTTTGGTCTGAGGAGAGTTCGGTATTAGCATGATTTCGAATACGAGGCAAATGGGAGGGTCAATTGGAGGAAGCTTACTTGTGTTTCGTGATTATTCGCCAATGAATTGAATATACTTCTCAGACAGGAGAGGAGAAGGCTTATTTATGGCATTCGAAACGTACATCACGAGACGGTTGAACTCATCTAGAAGATACGACGTACTACTAGTACAAGCTGGACTAATGGAATTGAGCAGCGCCACTGGTAATGTGGGTTTTCGGGGAGTCTTACGTAGCCGTGGTGATGGATGGCATGATAATTCTGTACGCGGACAACATGAGATTCATGGTGAGGGGTAGCTTGAATCAGAATTCCGCTGATAGAGTTCGACATCTGATGCCGATCCGATGAATCCGCATCCGTCCAGTACACAAGTAGAACAGACGAGACCCGAATGTTTTAGCGTCGTGGTTAGTGCGGGGCAAGATCGACGCTTTGTGCTACAAGCAGTAAGTGGGGCTATTTAGATGGGCACAGATGCGACGCCAACCCTCAAACTTCCTCGATACCAAATTCACCCACTTCCATCTCATACAGGTAGATAGGATAGGATACCCTACGTGGTATAACTTAGGTTAGCATCATCACAGAAACCCGGCGACGAACGAATTATTGACTGGATATTGATTTATCTACCTGCTCGACAACGCCAAATCCTCCTACCGCCAGCCCTCCGCACCTCCCGAGAAGTGAGAGCGGTGATGCGGGCAACCAGCATGACAATATAAAGAGACGAAATCATACGCCGCGCTATGCTGGGGTATGACACGAGATTATGGACAACAGAAATGTATGGTATCATGGTATGCAAAACCTCCCTCCGTGGTACAGATGAAGTCGTTGCGCAAATAGACAGACGTGAGTCCTTCCTTTCCTTCCTTTCGCTTCATATTCATACTTTTGGCTTCTTCCAGTAGTATTGCTATTGGGCCACGTGAGTTAGTATTGTTGGGGGAACATAGTAGGTTAGATTTACCTTGTGTTGTTTCCGACAGTTTCTTAAGCTTGGCTTCCTCAATCCATCAACAACTGCTGCTCTACGGTTCTCATCCGTATCTTCATCTGGCATGTAGTAGTACTCGCTCTCCAGAGCCTTTCCGGCAGCATCCTTCCCTTCGCGGTGGATCTCACCGATACACGCAGCTGTATTCAACATCTTGCAAAGGTCCTCCTTGGTCAAGCCCTTATTCTCTACATGTGTCGTGCTAGTATTCTTCAAGTCTGCTGGAAGATGGTTCAGAATGACCGAGAGTGGGGTTGATGAGAGACGGGAAAAAGCAAGTTGGTTTACAACATGATTAACCACTGGCCCAGCATCAGCCTCATTTGTTGATCTGGAGCTCGATCTGGAATTGGTAGAATCCGCACGATTGCGTTCTACATGGGGAGCTTCGGGGGAGGCGACAGTGGTAAAGGATTCCATCCGAGACGATATGTTGGCGCCAAAAGGACCGAATGAGTGGACAATTGGATCGTTCTCCTCATCAGGATCCTGCTCTTCTGGTTCGCTGAGTTCACTAGTCGGGCTTTCCTCTGGCGCACGGAACGATGTAGCTGCTTGGGTAGAGGCGAAGGAGTTGCCGCCTGCAATATCATCCTCGGCAGAAGGCTCATCCTCATATACTTTAACGACGCTCGAGTCTACAATGTCAGAGAACAGATCGGCCAAGTTGGTAGAGGTAGATGGCCCTGCTGGAGTTGGTGATTCGGGAGACTCAATTCGATGACTGCGACGCAAGGGGCTTGACTCAATTATTTGACCACCAGCACTGACAGCAGTAGGACGACCTCTTGCAGAAGCTTCCTCATCCCACGAAGAGTCTGTTTGAGCTCCCACCGACGCCTTACGGTCCCTACTTGGCCACGCGATTCGAACGCGCGCGTCCTGCACGTCGAGCATGATCTCAGCATATTCAGTCTCCGACGTGAAAGTATCATCCTTTGCCAACTCCCAAGTCCGACCTTGACAGTGCAGCTTCACGCCATTCCACCCTTTACACTTTATCTCCACCTTGTTCGGCTCGAGGGGGACAGAGGCCGCGATATACCGAGCTTCAACGTGAACGCGCGAGATCAGGCGATTGGCGGATAATTGATAATGTGAAGAGGTGCTTGATCTTCCCATGCATAACAAGTCGCCATTCTCTGAAAGAGTAACAGAGGGAACGGCAGAGAGAGGTGCTCGTTCAGAGATCGAGGATTGGGTTCGATGAAGAGAAGTTCGGCTTTGAACGCGTGGTGGTGAGGACGAAAGGATACCAGTCGTGGAAGTAGGAATTGGGGTAGGATATTTTTGATACGCTGCTTCTCGTTCCGAAGGTGAACTTCGAGCTTGTCTCTTGGAAGGGCGAGGGAAACCAGGCGAAGAGGAGAAGGACGAGGAAAAGGGTTCGAACGCGGGCAGTAGCGATGGTGCTGGACGTTTTATGCCTGCCGAAGATGGTAAACTTGGCAGGGAATTCATCTTGCTTGGAGACGAGTCCATCATGATAGAAGGATTCTAGTAGTGTGCTTCCAGATATAATTCAAGAGAAGGCTCTTCGAGGTCGATATCAAGACCGCGCCAGGACGCGACTAACAGCAGCTTTGATATCGATGGAATTGGACAGGAAAGAAAGGATGTCGAGGAAGGAATTGCACGTCAAATTGAATGGTATGAGAAAAAATGAGGAGCAAGACGACTTTTGAAGGTCACGAACACGGTCGAGCTTGTGTGAGGCCGGAAGACTGGGTCTTTGGAGTTGAAGGTCGCGTTGAGAGCGTGTTCTCGCTTGGCTAGACCTAGTCGCCAACATTCTGCCGTAAACGTGCAGCAAGCACTCCGATCTATTTTCTCCCTTGCCGGAAACGTGTGATTTTAAATTTACTTTCAGATGAAACTATCTTGCCATTTCTGTGAAATAATATATACTTTTAGCAAGTTAATTGCATCCATATAGCATCATTTCCCATGATTTCGAGCTCTTTGAAAGTGCACCTCGGAAGTCATCCCAGCCTCCTCATCGCGGTCTATGCGCGCTAGGAACGTCAAGTCGGGCGGGTATGAAACAAATCGGGCCTCGCATAGGAGCAGGATCTTGCAGAGTGGGATTGATGCGCGTATCTTTTACTTCATACGAGTCCACTTTGTATGCAGCGTGATACAAGTTTTTCTTACATGTACTGTAGTCCGTGGTGGTGCCTTTTCAATAGACTGAAAGCGGTGAGCGAGAGCGAGTAAGTGACAGCATAAAAGATATCCCCGCACTTTGTGCATATCACGTGTAAGTAATGCTCAGGGAGGAAGGTGGGAGAGGAAGGGTGTATTTACTGCACAGGCTATCTGTCTGTCTGTCTTTTTCTTTCTCAATATCACAGTCTATGTCACTGTAACTCAAAAAATAAGTGACTCTCTGGAAGTTCCAGGTTGTGATGGAGGGGTTTTGAAAACAGCCGAAAAAGGAAAGGCTGAAAGTCGGCGCTTTTAAATCTAATGCCGACATCCATTTTTTCCAATCCAAAAAAATTAAGATAGGAAACGAGTTTGCGGGACCATACTATCAAGCTCCACGCCCACAATTGTACATCACTGTCCACAGTTTCAACGGTTTCTCAAAAGCTTCAACACCGAAGCAGGATCCGTAGACAATCACAGCAATGGCGCCAAATTCTACAGCTCTGACCACCAAGGTCGAGAGCGGCTCACCTTATCAGTTAAACCATGAGCAGGTATATATTCCGAAGCAAGCAAGGCGCAACGCAACTCCTACTAATAACTACCAGACATTGAAAGCCTCAAAAGCTCTTCTGAAGCACATGAAAGACACCGAAACAGAAGTCTCAACCACCACCGAAAAGAAGAATCTCCTCGACGAGGCCGACGACGACGAGACCAGCTCCCCCATCTGGCTAACCCTCTCGACCAAAAAACACATCGTCGACAAAACACGTCTCAAGCCCTCCAAAATCGCCCTCCCCCACCCCCTAAACACAAGCTCCACGCAAACCATCTGCCTCATCACCGCCGACCCGCAGCGCACCTACAAAGACATCGTCGCCTCGCCCGCCTTCCCGTCCGCGCTCGCAGCCAGAATCACAAAGGTCGTGGGCATCAAGAAGATCCGCGCAAAGCATTCCCAGTACGAGGCGCAACGGAAGCTAAAGTCCGAACATGACATTTTCCTAGCCGATGATCGCATCATCACATCGCTCCCAAAGCTCCTCGGGAAGACCATGTACAAAGGCGGCAGCAAGCGCCCGATCCCCATCTCCATCTCAGCACCGGTGCCGAAGACAGACGGCAAGCGTATCAAAGCGGCCAAGGGCGAGGAAGAGAAGCGGGACGCTGCGTCGGGGCAGGCGATTGCCAAGGAGATCGAGAAGGCCCTGAGCGGGACGGTGGTTAATCTGAGTGCGAGTTCGAGTACGGCTGTCAAGATCGGGTTCTCGAACTGGGATGCTGCGAAGCTGGCCGAGAATGCGCAGGCGGTTGCGGAGGCGCTGATTGAGAAACACGTTCCGGCGAAATGGAGGGGTGTGCGGGGTCTGCATATCAAGGGCGAGCGGACGGCGGCGCTGCCGATCTGGTTGGCGGATGAGTTGTGGGCGGATGAGGCGGATGTTATTAGTGAGGAGAAGGCGGAGCAGATTAAGCTGGCGAATGTAGGGAAGAAGAGGAAGGCTGTTGCTGTTGTTGCCGCTGCGGACGAGGAGGAGGTTGTGGCGGAGGGGACGAGGGTTAAGGGGAAGAAGCAGAAGTTGTTGGTGGAGAGCAATGATGATAAGCTGGACAAGGAGATTAGGGAGAGGAAGGAGACGTTGAGGAAGCAGAAGGAAGAGGCTGCTAAGGATGTTGTGGATGAGGTGCCGAAGGCTTCGAAGAAATCCAAGTCCAAGTCCAAGAAGGGAAAAGCAGTTGCAGTGTGAGGCAATTTCAGAATGCTTTGGTCGATGCATTACTGGGCGTTTGGGCGTATCCAGGCAGTATAAAATGGTCTATTTCTGTACGCACAAAAGATTGAGCTAGGTGGCGTCTAAGAAAGATATTAGAGGCGTTCTAGATATCAAAATTATGTCTTGCATCCAGAATCATATTTGCAAGTGATAGAAAATGCTAAACAAGGCTTCTCACAATGCATGGAAATCAACGCCTGCCCACCCTATATATCCTACAGAAAATACATCACAACTCCTCCCTTTCCGTCATCTCTTTCTCCAACTTCCTCCCCAATGGTCCATAATTCTCCTTGATAACCGCCTTCAACAACTTGTCCGTCAATTTCATATGCTGCCCCTCAGTCGTCTTAAACTCCAACGCTCCCTTCGCATCCAGCGTCTTCAACCCAATCCAATCCTCCCTATAAATACTCCTCTCTCTCAACAACGTAACATCCGTCCCATTAACCTCCGCAAACCAGCCCGTCTCCTTCGGCACAACCGTCTCATCCTCCTCAAACAAATACATGACAAACCTCTCCAGCCTCTCCAGATTCTCCTTGTACGTCTGATTCTTCAACTCGCGCTCATTATTGATATCAGCCAGGAAGTTCGAGGACTCCAGATACGAGTCCAGCTGTTCCGGGTCCCTGAAGTACTGCGCGGGCACGAGCCGCGACTGCACGAACGCGGACCATGTGTTTGAGCGGAGTAGCGAGCGCGCGCCTTTGCAGAGCCAGTCCGTGGCGGCGCAGGATTGGAATTCAGAAATTCCGTTGTGCTGGCTGCCGAAGGTGACGAGACTCCTCACCGGGGGGAAGTTGCAGCGTTCGATGTAGCCTCTGAGGAACTGGCCGCCCTGGGAGAAGCCGAGGGCGTCGACGGCCGGGGCAGTGGATAGGATGGGGTGGGCGGCGAGGTCTGCGCAGACTTTGTCAAGTTGGAGGGTTAGGTTGCCGAAGAAGGTTGCGGTGCGGTCGGCGGAGGCGTCGTCGTCGATACGGATTATGTAGGTTAGGGTCCCGGGGTGGATTTCTGTGGCCAGGTCGCCGATGGAGGTTAGTCCTTCGTTTTGGTAGTTGTCGCCCAGGCCGTGCCAGATTATGAGGGGGAGGGGCGTGTCGTAGTCATCGTCGGTTTTTGGGCTGGGTTTGTAGTGTGAGGGTCGGGAGATGGGGGTTATGGAGGAGAGGGCGAGGGAGGAGGATAGGAGGAGTATGAGAGTGCTGAGGAGGGGTGCCATGATGGTTGGTGATGTTTGGAGGGGAAGTTGTTGATGAGACGGGACGGGGGAGCTGATATGGGGCGGATCAGGAGCTTGGATCTTGCCGCTTTTGTTCATCTGAGATGTTCTTATTCCGGCAAGCAGTTTCACTTATAAGTCTCCAAGTCTACCTACCCTACCTTATAGGTATAACATAAACATCAAAGGAACTCAGATAAGTGTCAAAACGTCTGGTATAAGCTTGATACTCAGTTGATGCTAATATAGCTTTTCTATCAATTTTCCCCTCTAGTATACCCTAGATGTATAGTCAAAGTACTACTAGTTTTTGTTTCTCACTTAGTATACTAAAGGCTTTCATTTGAGATGATAGACTTCAAGTGCTTTTGGAAGAGAAGGTTACATAACAGCTTTAGGATATGCATGTAAAGGAATCATTATTCACATTTCTCATGTAATTCCCGGAGGGCGGAATGGATTATCCCTTCCGCTCTCGCAGTCACCACTTGACATCTTCTTGCAGTTGCCTTTTCAAGTAAACTTTCCACATTGGAATGCAAAGAAAAACTTCCAAGTCAGAACATACATCTCAATAACACAAACAACGCTGTCTTTAAACATCATGGGGAAAAATCCAAACAGACCACTCAAACCTCGCCGCAAAGGACGAGGACGAGGTGCCTTATCGGGTGCAAATCTTATCGCCTTCGCCCCCCACCGAAATGCCGATGTACAACGACAACTCGGAAGCGTCTCTCACAATATGCCCCCTCCACCACCACCACACTTCAACACAGCAGACTCTCGAGCAACTATGGCGCCCGCACCTCGACCAGCGCCGCCTGCTCCAGAGAGTGCACCTGTTACAGGCCCCCACCCTTCATACATCCAGGTCGCGAAACCCTATGTCTTCCAGCAACAATTACAAGGACAACTCGTGGCTATGGGCGCAAACCCCACTCGGGAGGATACCTTTAGGTTACAGGGTGTTCAGTGGATCAGTGACGTTCGAATACATCTACAGCTGCCTGTTCGAACTTTTTGTACGGCTTGTGTGTATTACCACAAGTTCCGTCTTGTTCACAGGGACAACGAGTACCAATTCCAGGATGCTGCGGCTGCGGCTCTCCTTACGGCCTGTAAAATTGAGGATACTCTAAAGAAATCAAAGGAGATTTTGTGTGCTGCGCATAATGCGAAGGTTGGGATTTCTGAGCAGTTGAGTCCGGATGATAATGTTGGTTGAATATATATTTTCAAGGAAACAACAGCTAATTATTTCCCAGGCATTTGAAGGCCCATCAAAAATTGTCATTGGTCTCGAACGTCTCATGCTCGAGGCATCAGGCTTTGATTTCCGAGTCCGCTTCCCACACAAACACCTTGTGAAGCTTGCAAAGGCCTCAAAGGTAGACGACGACGTTTCTAAAGTTGCATTCAAGATGATGATCGACCTATACCGCACATTTGCTCCTCTTAAACACAGCTGTGCCGCCATGTCCTTTGCGTGTATCGAGCTCGCCACTATTCTCCTCAACAAGCAGCAAGATTTTATCCGAGGCGAGCATGCACCAAGTCCGCAAAAGTGGCATACATCCCGGGCTCAGATAATGGAAGCTATCCTCGATCTCGTTGAGCACTACACGCATTTCCCAAAGGCGTCCATTGTTGGGCCTTCCTACCCAATCGACACATTCATCAACATCCGCATCAATATGAACCAAGAACTAGAAGCCGAGTCCTTGACTCGGTATACCGAACAACACGACGCTCCCAAAACCAACGGCATCAGATCTAACATCAAGACACCGAAAACACCCATCACACCTGCTAGCCCCTCGGACCTACGAACCAATGGCAACAAAGACGTCGCTTCTCCCGCCACCCTCAGCCCGCGCTCTTCTGGCTCAGGCCGCAAGGGAATTGGTGCACGTGGGCAGGAAGGAACTGTGCGCTTTATGCTGGATGCCGAGAAGGCTAAGCAGGAGAAGGAAGAGGTTGCGCAGTATTATAGGGTTGAGTGGGAGGAGTATGAGGTCGAGGTTGAGGAGCCGATTAGGCAGGAAAAGAATGACCATGGTCATAACCATAATCAAAACCATAGGGGTGGGGGACAGCATATGAGGAATGGGAGGGATGGTGGGTTTCATCATAAAAGGGTTCGGAGGTAACGGGAAGAGGATGATGGATTGTATAGGGGAGTTGTAGGATATTTATGGGAGTTCAAGGTGGGGGGTAAAAGCATGGTATGGCATGGCATGGCATTGGCGTTAATATGATAGCATAGTTGTGAAAGACGTAAATGTCGCGGCTATTCGGGATTCTATAGTGTTTGTTAGCTACCCTTCGATGACTTGGGGACTATTGCAATCTTTAAGTTACTAAATAAAGAGTTAGCTTGAATTCTCTTCGAAGCCTCTGCTTTCTACTGCGCTAGGCCTAAGACATGCCTATACGTCTAGCAGCTACCAATTGCGCAAGGTAGTAAAACTTTACCAACTCGTAACTCTAGATGTCATTATTAAGCCACAGCTCCTCAGGGTACATACAGCCTTACCCCTTACCTCTGTATACATCCTCCCCTCGATCAATTCCTTGTCTCGTTGCATCTGTTTGTTGGAATATGACTATGACCGCACCCCTGCTGTGCTGTGGCGCACGATGACGAGAGAAGCGTGTGGCTGAAGGGCCCCATCACCGAATCAAGGCAGAAGGTTCATGAAGCTGTAAAACGCGACATTGATTGATTAGCCTCTTTCCTTGAATTTCTTTGCCTTGCACTTGCAGTAACCTTTCTCTCTTTTCTTTTCTTTTCTTTACTTTACAATAACAATAAGCAATCCGTTTTTGTTATATTATACCACAATTCATTCACCAAAAAGACGCGCAAATCCTTTCTCGTAAGTCCCCTCTACAAAAAGCAAACCCAGCTTCGCAAGCAGAGCTCCCTCGCTAAAACGTCACTGCTTCTTTCTAGCCCATCCCATCCCAGCTGAGCCCAGCCATCCATCTTTCCACTCACGCCGCCGCACCGCACAGAACACCTTTACCCCAACACCACCATAACGAGAACACCTACCGTATTGATTCTATTTCAATCTCTCTCCATCACCCATAAACATCTGAAGAAATGGCTCCTCCGCCATCTGCTTCCATCCCTCTGCAGCAGAGACTGCTGCAGCTTGTTCAGACTCTTCAATGTACGTATCCTCTTCGCACAGTGTGGACACTGGATGGTCTTGTGCTGACCTTTTTTCTGCAGTCGCATGGTTCGTCGGGTACGTACAATTTGAGGAACAATGTTCCATATACATCTCCTCGAGTCCTCCAGCTTTGTGGGCTTGTGTTCAGGGCCAGGATCGAGCCTGCGTCCCTGCCGCACATCACCCTCGATGTCAAGTATCATAGACACTAACAATGCTTTAGGCACTTGACTCTTCTGTTCTGCATTGTCAGATACGGACTGTCGTATATCACCTTCAACTACTACTCGCGATGGGCTCAATTCTCCTACCGCACAGCCTTCATTTCCGCCGCTGTAACCTACGGCATTGTCGTCTACAAGGCGTTCCGCGCTCGCTCAAGAGCCGGCAGCAGAGCACAAGGTGGTGTCATTTCTCTTGCAGCTGATGAGAATGTTCAATACTTGGGTAAGCCTCAATGCCCAAATACTTGAAAAACTCTTATTTCTAACACCCCCTAGCAATGGCACTCGTCTGGCTATTCTCCCCTCAATACCCCCTCGCCATGCTCCCCTTTGGCGTCTACTCCATCTTCCATGTCGCAACATACACACGCACAAACCTGATTCCAACAGTCCAACCCCCACAACAGGCTGCACCAGTTGCTGGAGCTTCCCCCGGTGCCAAACCAACCTTCAAGTCCAACCCTACCGCCGATATGATTGGCAAGTTCGTCAAGGAATACTATGACGCTTCCATGGGCCTCGTCGCCATCCTTGAGATTCTTCTCTGGGGCCGCATCCTTCTCTCCGCTATTGCTTTTAGCAAGGGCTCCTGGATTTTGATCGCTGTCTACACTGCATTCCTCCGTGCCCGCTTCGCTCAAAGCAATTTCGTGCAAGGCCAGTTCAGGAACTTGGAGGCTCGCATTGATAGTATTGTTGGTGGACAAAGCACTCCTCCTGTTGCGAGAACAGTTTGGGATACTGTTAAGGGCGGTGCTAGGACGTTCCATGACGCCACTGATATTGGCAAGTACGTTGGTGGTGGTGCGCCCGCACAGAAGAAGGCTACTTAAGAGAAGTACCAATTACTTGGAACGATCTAACAATTCTGGTGAGAAATTGGGTGGATATGGGAAGATTCGATGCGGTGGAAGAAAGACCCACGTATCGTGGGATATTATCATAAAACGGAGCGGGATGGTTATGAAAAAGGGGAATGCCTATATTAGAGGGGCATAGTTAGGGCGTGTGGATAGGAAGGTAGATTTGTATTGGTAGTGGATTCTTCGGCGGGTTTTCCTTGCTGCTTCCTATGAGCGGTTCTCTGTCTCGTTGCCTTTCTCAATTCCTTTATACTTGTCTGTAGTTCAATGAAAACGTCGTAAATCCACTGAAGCGTTCAACGTCGTATGTTTTGCTAGCTTTTACCGTGGCGCTATTCCGTAATCTGTCTCTAGTAGGTGCCCCTTCCGCCGGGACTCCTCTTTCCGCCTAACTAGGTAGAGCTACCTCAACTATCAGACTCTTGCTTCTTCCTCAACCCATTCTTCTTCTCTTCCTTGCTCGTCCATAAGAGAAGCAAGAAATAGACGATAGACAGCATTCATTCATTCATTCATACATGCATGCATGTGCTGCAGCAGGCTGTAATATATTACTTTGTTATATATATGTGTGCGCGTGTAGTTCGCTCCCCTAGGAGAAGCAAGTAGACGGGAGAGCGAGCTAGCCTCTAGAGGGAATGTGTATTCTTTGTATACGGAGGTAGGTAGGTGAGGACTACATGTACAATACAGTACGCGAGAGAGAGATACGGATATGTGGGTAGGCGGGAATGCATGTGGGTGGATGGATGGATGAATAAATAAACGGCTCGGTTT